AACAAGGCGACGCTTGTTTTGTGGAGGTTCATGGCTTACTTAATTAGTCTGTAATAAGGAAAACGTTCATTGTACGAAATGTATTATGGGTTCATTTTAACAGTTTGGGGTCTCCCTGGCCTACCGTGTGTCGTACCCCACTACCCCTATTTATAATGTGATATATAATAATCATAATTATTTATTAAAAAGTATTTAATAAAAAAAACGTTAGTAACTAGTTTTATATCGACTATAAAATCTGTTATTGGTATTTATAAGATTCTCGAAAACTCTGGCTTTAGGATAAATCCATAGAGCTATCCAAAACATTCAATAAATTAATTATGATTCGGTTATAATAATATGAAATAGCTTTTTTTTTAGAATTTTTAACGGTTCATTTTACCCCTGGTATTGCGCAAAGGGTGAAAAATGTACAAATAACCAGAATTCATAATTATTAAAAGAAAAAAAGGTTAACTTTTGAGGTACCTCACGAAAATATGGATCAACCCGAGGGGTGAAAACACAACGCAGGGGAAGTGCAGAGCATACGAGGTGCGTTCAAATAGTAAGGTGACTTTTGTAATTGGGCGGGCTACGTACATTAGATCATCGATATTTTTTTTGTTATATTATTACCCATATCTCTAACACATGTTCACAGTTTCAGCCAGTTTGCACATGCATTTTTTTATGAGACAAAAGCGACAGGTGTCTGGTGTGCTCGGCGATTTTCTGTTTTAAAAAAGAAAATGGAACAAAGCATTTGCATAAAATTTTGTGTAAAAAATGGAATACAGTGCTGCCTAACACCTGAAATGTTGACAACTGCATAGGATGAACCTACTTTTAGCAAAAAAAAGTGTTTTTAAGTGGTACGAGTTGTTCCAAGATGGCCGGTAAGACGCCTATGACGAACCACGCTCTGGACGCCCCACCACGTCAATAACTGACGAAAACGTGGAAAAAGTGAAACAAATGGTGTTGAACAATCGTTGAATTACTATTAGAGAAGTAGCTCAAGACGTCACCATCTCTATTGGCTCGTCCCACGCAACTTTTCCGAAACGAGTAGCAACAAAATTTGTTCCGAAACTGCTTAATTTTGAACAAAAGGACCGTCGATATGACGTCGATACCAAGGCCGAGTCGTGCGACTGGAAGCACTCAGAATCGACAAAACCGAAAAAACCACGTCAAGTACGACCAAATGTCAAGGTTTTGCTTACTGTTTTCTTTGATTATCGCTGCGTAATACATCAAGGGTTCTTACCAGATGATGGTACGGTCAATAAAGAGTATTACCTTTAAGTTTGCGAGAAGCAATTCGAAGAAAATGTCCGCAATTGTAGAAAAACAATTCATTCATTTTGCATGACGATAATGCACCTGCTCACTCATCGTTGCTAGTGTCTTTCTGGCCGAAAACAAAGAAACAATCATGTCTAAGCCACCATATTCACAGGATATGGCTCGCTACGACTTTCTCCTTCTCAAAACTCAAAAAACTTACGAAAAGAAGGAGGTTTGGAAACGATCGAGGATATAAAGAAAAAATCGCGTTGAAAACTCAAGGCTATACCAGAAGGTGCTTACCAGAGGTGCTTCGAGAATTGGGAAAAACGTTGGCACATATCTGGGCGGAGGGGATTACTTTGAAGGGGACAACATTTATTTCGATGAATAAATAAATACTCTCTGAGAAAAATAGTCAATTTGTTTTTTGAACACACCTCGTATTGTGACATTATCTGGGCGTTGTGAGAATTGTATGGGTATTGTAAAGGAATTTAAAAGAATTAGATTAAGTACCATCTGGCCCGAAAATCGTAAGTTGTCAACTCTCTTGTTTACAGAGCCGTACAACTATCTCCACCCGAGTCACTGAACCTTATATCTGCCCTTTTCTCTAATAATTTTCGCATTACAGATATTAAGCGTTCCATCACAAAATACACTTCACAAAAGCTCTTCAAACACAACGACATCGAAAGCAACCCCACACTTGGAACTTCATTATATTCAAAACATCACTTACCACATATCAAAAGTTCTTAAGAAATATAACGTCAAAACCAATTTAACACTTGTCCAAAAATTTATCATCTTCAATCTGTCAAAAACAAAATTCCGTTTGAGAAATCAGGAGTTACAGCACTCCATGCATATGCAACAAGGAATACATTGGTGAGAACGAACGAAAAATATCAACTAGAATATGAAAGAGCCTTAAGACTAGGACAAATAAACACAATCACGAAACCGGAATTTTATTGGATAAAACTAAAATTCTTGCATGTAATCAATTCTACTGCCAAAGAAAAATCCGAGAATCTATAGAAATCTATAAGCAACCAAACACCGCGACTCTGATCTTTAGAAAATATAATTGATAAATAAATCGAGCTTACTGCGAGGTTGTAGAGACTTTGGTGAAATGTTGGTTTTTTGATAAATTGAAAAAAATGAAAACGAGCATCTTTTTGTTTATTGTCATTTTTTAATTATGTTGTCAGATTTAACTTAGAACGTTTTGGCAATCATCAACTCTGTTTTTAAATACTGATCTGGATTTTTTATTTCGGATATTGACATGATGATGCTCATTCTGATGCTCGTTCAGACGTCCCAAAACTAATGATGTGTCCAATGCGAATCGCTTAGAAAAAAAAATGAGGCTCGGAAGCAATTAATAAAAATACATTTGAGGGTTCATCGGGTCTTGAATGATTTTCTTCTTTAAAGCAGAACAGAAATGAGAAGATACCGACGATGCTATTGAGCTTGATATTGAACTATACACATTTTATGTAAAATGTGAAATGTAGAATTTAAAAAGAAAAGCTAGATAAATCAAGTTTTAATTTAATTATTTGCAAATGAAAGACAACGATGATGAACTTAATTGGCCACAAAAGCCTAATGTTGATAAGAGACACATTTTATGACCCAATTAGTCTCGGCGTCAATTTATCATTTATTATAAGAAGGGCTGACAAAGTTAAAATTATTAAATTGTGTAAAGAAATCGACCGAGAGTAAAGTAAAGATTTTAAACTCGATTCTAAATCTTAAAATGTTTCAAGAAAAGTTGACCAAATAGCACATTATATTATTAGTATACTTACAATTCTTCGTTGTATTTATTTAGAATTATTAAGTGAAAAAAGGGAAAAATGAAATAATTATTTAATAATTTAAGTTAATGCGTTAAGTAGGTCATTTAGCTATTTTCTGGACTAACTGTACTTCAAATACTATGTACTATGGTCTCCAGGTGATACTCCCAACATCTGTACTCACAAGTCTTATCCTTTTCTTTCTTCTTCTTTATTTTTTTTAGTTCTAAGATTAGTAGATTTGAAATTAGTTTTGTACGTCGATGTAAACATATCATACGATTTATATTTTAAATTTCCTGTAATTGGCTCATGTTACCTGTTGGAAATGAAATAAATAAAGGCGCTATATATATTTTTCTTCTTCTTCACAATAGTATATTATGCAATCAGTGTGGTAATATACTATTACCGCACTTGTTGCATAATATACTATAAGTCACTCGTCTATTAAACACTCTCTCCGCTCGTGACTCAAAATTCTTCGCCACGAATGGATTTTTTTGAAAATCCGAGACCACTTTTTAGTATCCCGTGTCCCACTTCTTCTATCATACGGTTTATTTAACTTTTCAAAGAAACTTCAACAGGCTACTGTTTACAAAACTTCTGAATTCCTCCTGCGTCGGTTTTTGTTGAGTCCAAATTGCTGACGTTACGCCAATCATCCTGTTGGCTTCTTCAGAGCTTGACTGAAACTGGCTCGTATTTTACTCTGTACCTGCTTATATATTGTTTGAGTTGAGCGGGGCTAAATGAGGGGCATAAACACCGTCTCGAATGACTGATTCACATATTGGTGGCAGGTAGAGACCTGAGTCGCGGTTAAGATTGTTAGGTTGTTTATAGATTTTCATAGACTCTAGGATTTTTCGTTGGTAAAAGAACTGATTATATGCAAGAATTTTAAATTTATTGAATAAAATTTTATGTCCGGTTTCATGAGTGTGTTCGGCAACAGCTGATGAATTTATTTGTCTTAGTCGTAAGGCTCTTTCGTGGTCTTTGAGTCTAGTTGATATTTTTTGTCTGGTCTCTCCAATGTATTCTTTGCAGCAGATGCATGGAATGCTGTAAACTCCTGGCATCTCAAATGAATTTGTGTCTTTGACGGACCGAAGATGCTGGGGGATTTGTGGACAAGTGGTAAATCTGGTTTTAACGTTATACTTCTTCAGAACTTTTGATATGTGGTCAGTGATATTTTAAATGTATGGAAGGACCACAGTGGCAAGTGTAGGATTGCTTTCGGCCTTATTAGTATTGGAAGGTTATAGTGAAGTGTGTTTTTTCAGGGAACGCTTAATGTCTTTATTGTGGAAATTATTGGAGAGAAGATCAGAGGTAAGGTGTTTTAATTCTGGGTTCAATGACTCGGGCTGAGATAGTTTTACGGCTCTGTAAACAAGAGAGTTGATAACCGATGATTTTTGGGCTGGATGGTGAGGTGGTGATGGTGATTAAGGGATCGGTCTGTGTGCGTAGGTTTTCTGCAAACAAAATGACCCAATGTTAGGTCTGATTTTCTCTTGATAACAATATTTAAGAATGGAAGGTTATTATTAGTTTCCAACTCAATGGTAAAACGTATGTTAGGATGTATATGTATTACTCAAAAAACACAATTTGTTTCTGAAGGTTCAACTTTTTGCCCCGTTTTTCTCATATTTATTTTGTGAATATAGTATGTAGTAAAACTTTCACACAAACGAAGATTTTTTTTGTTTTTATTTTTATTTTTTTGCATTCTCAATTTTTTATTTTCAATACAATTCTTTTATTTTGTGTGGATGCCCTGATAAAAATGAAGTATACTTTATTATCCTTGGACCCAGCATTTTTCTACGGAGGATACCATCGACATTCAATTTATAACCGTTAAATAAACAACTTAAAGTAATTGAATAAAATTTATTGACACATTGCATGCGAGCGGGAAATTTAATAAAATATAAAATCAAATAAGTACACATAGCATACACAAGTACAACGTCAAATACGACTATTCTCGTTCAACGTGCTATTTTAAATAGATTTTAATAAACAAGTAAAAACAGTCCTATATGGTTATCATAGAACTTTAAATAATATATTAACAAAATACAAAAACAAAATTGTTAGGGATATCGTTTGCCAAACTTCGTTATACTGTAGTAAAACCTGTAAAACAGAAAGATATCTAAGATCAGTTAATGCCTGGATATTTTCGTATATAATAGCAGCTTTTATAAAGTATGTTACAACCAATGGCGATATACATTGACATTTCCATACTAATATTTAGCAATTTTTTTTGTTACGAAGGTTTTTAAGAAATACCTTTTTGGTAACTTAAAAAAAATAAACAGATACTGCTTATAGTCATAAAACTATAAGTATTTCAAAATAAACATGAATTTTATTACTTCAATAATATTGCTATAAGCTAACTAGCTAAGTTATATAAAAGATATAAAATTATGAGTTTTTATAAAAACGAACCTGATGGTGAACATGGCGTCCTTTTACATGGCGACCACTATTATGTTTTATCGATTTTTTTCAAAAATATAGAATTACAAAATGGGCTGCATTTTAATTGCAAAAAAAAATCATGGGACATAAGACGTAACTTTCAGGGCGCTTCAATTTTAATAATGGTAAAATATAAAATTCTTCGATAAATTAATAATATTCATCAAATTCTCATAGTAAGGACACTATGTAACAATACTTTAAACAATTTATATAAAAAAAGTGAAAGGAAAAGAGATGGTTGTTTGTTTGGTGTTTATAAACTCCCTAGGTAGGTTTTATACCGATAATGGAAACGTATTTCTTGTCGTTATAAAAGCTATTTATTTATTTATAAAATTTTGTCACCGTTACAATTATAAGATTCTATATTTAAGTGCAACAGGGGTTTTATAAGAATAACTATAACGTTTAGAACAATTGATATGTTCTCAGGTTTTATAAAAAATGGGTAATCTCAACGCAATTGTTAGTTTCAAGCTTTGAATCTTTGAATGAATGTCACAAAACAAGGGGTTGCAAGAGTTTCCGAAGCTTGATCGATTTTTACTCGCAATGACGACAATTTACATGGATATTTTTTACCTTTCACTATTTTAGTTTCCCAAAAGTCCCTTCATTCGTCCTTAAGGAAATTCAAAGCTAACGGTTTCAGTTTCAAAAGCGCGACCTTTTCATACTTGTCGCTCTTGTATTTACTTTGTATAGCTTGCTGCTTCTTGATCGGGGAATTCTTAAAAGTTCGATGCTGTCTCTCGACGACTGGGCTGAGCTGCTTCAAAGTGTACCCGGTGGTTTCTTTAAACTTCTTGGGCCACGTAGTCTCCTTGTTCAAGATATACCTTAAATAATTGTTCAAGTTTAAAAAATTCGGGGGCAACTAGTCTCTTACCTAGCCAGAGCGACGGAGGCGGCTGCCAATTTTGACGGCAAGTGGTTTAGATATTCGTCGCCTTCCAGAAGCACTAAATCGCTGATGTACTGTTTAAACGAATGCAATTAATGATAGAAAAATAAGACGATCTCAGTAGTTCGGAAGAACTATTTTCGACACAATAAATCAATTTTAAAAAATCGGAAAATATTCTAATATTATAACGGCGAGAACAAAAAAATGTTATTTCAAATCATTTCATTCGTATAAGTTAAGAACTTAAAAAAACCACAACTATAAAGACCAACCAAAAATATATTAAATATTTAAAGTTGAAGGGGGGTATCCAGTTAAAATACACTCCACAAAGAAAGTATCGCTAAAATGAAAACTGCACGCATTTGCATAATACAGGGTGCTCATCTAGAAACTCACACATTTTAACTGAAGTTGAAAAAGATAATTTCTGACAGTGTTGCCAAGTTTCAAAATTTCCCCAAAATAAGATGAAAAAAATTGATGATTTTCCAACTCCGATTTGATCCAAATTTTTACATGAAAACCTGTTAGTTCCCCTTTCCGAAGATGTATACATTATTTGTCGTTGCCTTAATTTTTTTTGTCTAGGACCAATTTTCGTAAATAACAATTTTCCCACATTAATCGAGGATTAATTAAAAAATTAAAAAAGGAACAAAAAACAAACAACAAACTAAACGTTTCCAATATGTTTGCATTTTTGATTTGATTCTGTCCACCACTCGCGAAGAGGCACATTCCGCGTTTCTATTTAGTGAATGCAAATCAATTACGCAGACGAAAGTACGATTTAGGCAAATTTTCTAGACAGTTAAAAGAAAACTTAGAACAGACCTAAATGCACAAGACAATTTGTTGGATGGTAATTTGCTCGTAAGAAAACTGTTCTCTTTAAACAATAACTAAATATCCATTAGGAAAATGGCTTAAAACGTTAAATGTCAAAAAATAAAGTAACTAAAATTCCAAAAATGATTAAATTTTATCCCACGGAGTTCAAACTTTCAGGAAAATTGGTCTTTTTAAAAAAAATTAGCTTTAATATAAAAAATAACACCCTTTACACAGAGTGTACAGGGTACCCCATTTTGGGTACATTTGCGGGGAATCATTATTTTTATCGATACTACTTTACGTACTACTTTTTATTGAAACTAAAGATGTTGCTAACAAAATTTCCGTATTCATTAGTTTTTAAGATACGAAGCTAAATTGTCACAACGATTAGAGAACTTCCCGAAATCGTGCGAAAAGTCTCTTATATAAAACTAAATTAATTTTTTTATCAACCTGTATATTTATAGACTATAAAATTTGTCTTCTTTTTAGCTTTTCGAAAATATATAATAGTTTGCGCTTACTTTACTAAAAGGCTACGGCTATTATTTATGATGATAAACAAAAACAAATGTCAAATATTCTCTTATTCGACTTAAAGCAGTATATTTCTTATGAAGCTTAAGAGAATTATAAAAAAGTATGACATGCTAGTATGTTTTTTACAGAGCAATGAAAATTCTGAAGCAGCTTCGGAATTATATTTCCAACGGTGAATAAGCTATTATGACTGTGAAAATCTCTATTATAATTATAAGGAGACGAGATCCTCTCTAACCTCAAAACCTCCTCAATTTTGGGGGGGCATCTTTTTGAGGGTTCCGGTGCGCCTCGGGCCCCTCTACGCGAATATACCGTCCGCGCCCCGATCCGACCTCAAATAACTCCGGAAATCTCGGAAAACCGAAAAAGGGCTACCTCCTCAAAAGCGATTTTTTGAGGTCGCTTCCTCCTCGAGAATTTTTTCTGAATCCGATGGCGAAAACCCCGACCCCCCAGGTCGTACCGTTTCCGAGATAGCCCCCCCGACTTTGCACCCCTGCCCACATCGAAAAAATAAAACCGGTTTTTTCAATCGGGGGCCCCCGAGTTTCTTCCTCCCACCTCTTCTGCTTCTTCGCAGCTCATGTTCCGTATTTGTATTATAATTATAAGTTTGTGCTTATTTGATAACCAGAACATAATCTCAGGAACTGGCGTTCTAATTATTAGCATTTAATGTAGCACAACAATGATGCTTTGGAGTAACATGTTTTGTTTTATTCAGAAAAATAGTATAAAGAATTTTGGAAGGAGGGCTGACAATTGATAAGTGATTCCAGAACTGCTAGAAAATGGTCCATTATTCCAAAGGGCTATATACAAAACGAAGTTCATAAAACACGATATGAGAACATAGCAGAAGTTAGTCTTGAAATCTACGAATGAAAATTGTCATTTTAAATATTACCTTTAAAAAGTTGTTTCCCTCTTTTTTTAATAATGTAGTTTTATTGTATTTTGTTATATTGTTGTTTTATGGTTCAAAATTGTGATTGTAAACTTGCTATTACCACAAAACTTCAAGAGCAATCTCTAACTTTCAATTGTTTATTATTGTTATTGGTTTATTATGTGGTCTGTTTCTGAGAAAATATGCATAATATTATATACGTTTGAAAAGGTAAAAATAAGACCAAAGTTATATCAGTCAGTTTTCACATTTTCGACAACTTATCTGATAGTTGCGTGGAGCGCCCTCAATTTAACTCTGTATCTTCAAAACTGAAAGGGCTATGAAAAAGTACTACACTGTCACGAATAACGCAACTTTCTATCTATTAAAATAACGGAGATTAATATTTTAAATGGGCAGCCCTGCATGTTATTTCCATATACCTGCCATTAGCTGTTTCGTTTTTTTTTCTATGTTTTTTTAGATGGTGAGATATCAATTTTGGTTTTTGTAACTACGCGATAAGCATTAGCTCCGAAAAGTTTTTTTTTAATTCCTTTATTCGTCCAATTTATTGAGATCCGTTTTGTTTTCGTAAAGTGTGACTCAAAGTATATCGTCTTGATTTTTAACTGACCATCTCCCAGAAAGTAATTACAACCTTCATACGTATTGTTACTGATGGGTGAACCCACATAGCTATTCGGTAAGACAGTGGCCCTGCCACGGTTAGAACTAATGCGGCTCAGGCGATTCTGGTATTTCTAATAGCTATATGGGTAATTACAATAACCATTAATTTATTTATATAACTATTTGATCTGTATATTTTCGAAACCATAAAAGTCTACAATACAATACCCGCTGGTCAGATATTTCAATGCCATCGGGAAGTTATTTCGGTAATTGCCATCAAAAGTGAAAACGATATACTTTGAGACAGACCATAAGGAATATTACCATCGCAAGGTATAAAGTTTTCACATCCAATTTGTGTTCGGTGCAAAAGTGTTCGACAAAGGTGCAGATGGTAGGTGGCTGCATGCGATACCTAAACATAAACCACTATTTTTTATTTAAGTGCGTCAAGCAGTAAAGGAAGTATGGTAAAATCTAATTTACACAGGGTGTGGCTCGACTAGCTCCTAAACGGTAAGAGAAAGCACCAAAAACATTGAAACAAAGTTGGCAGATATCTATATATTTATTATTATTAAATTTTTCAAAAGTCGAACACCCTATAAAACCTTTCCTATTGGAAGTTCTGGATAACTAAATAAGGTTTTTTTCAAAGTTCGTATATCCCTTTTTTCCGTCCTTTTTTTTTTTGTCGCAAACAAAACTTCATTAAAGCTTAATATCTTTACACCTTAATTTTGTTTAATTGAACCCTACATATCTGACACTAGTGTTACGATAATTAACACTTTACCTATTACCTTCCCACCTAACTACTTTCTCACACTTGATCGAATAAAGATTTTTTCTGGCTTTAAAAATCTACGTAAAAAAAGATGCTTCTCATTAATTATTTACCTTGCAAGGCTTCGCCTCGCTATTCGACATCGGCAAGTATTATTAAATAGATCACAGGAAAACACGCCGGAAAAATAGAAAACGCAAGTGAATATTAAAGTCTTTTAATTTTATTTTCATATTCTTGGAGGAAGGAACCGTCTTTATTATGTACATTTGATGTGTATATAAATTATTTAACTTCCAACAGCAATGATACATATATGTTAAAGAAAATAGATTTTACTGTTTCCTTTTTTTTAAGAAAAGTATTTTTGTGGACACTCTGTATGACTTGCCATCAAAACAAATGTATAAACTAGCCCCTTTAAAATTTGAAATAGCTTACTGAAGTAAAAAGCTATTCGAGAAAGTACTACTGCACACGTGTTCCATTTCAATTTCGAATATTATCGTCTGTTTCGAGTTCGAATTGGCAACGCTGCAGATGCACCATATATCAAATTTGAAGAAATAAACCTATTTAGTTCTCCAGAACTTCGAATCAACAATCAACGTGAATCACCGACATATTTAACGAAAAAGTTCTTTCTTTGATGGGCAAAAATGATATGAAAGAATATAATAGTTTTGTTGGAAGTTTCGTATAGTACTTAAAATTTTGTTTTATATAATAAGAACATTTTCTGATAAAAGAATCTTGTGATAAAAGTATTGTAGTAGTGAGTTAATTTATCAATACCTATGACTCACTTTGTATAACCGGACCAATTTTCAGTTCATAAATTTTCATGAAACTTGCCACTTTACATCAAAAAATCTTTTTTTTTTTTTCTATTTCTTACCGTTTTTGAGTTGATTTATAGCAGTTTATTGTATAAAAATACTTTATTTTTGTTAGTATTTGAAACTAAGCAATCTTTCCATTTTGTGCAAATTTTGATAATTTAATCAAAAATTGGAGCAAATGTTCAACTTTCGTGACGTAAATGAGACTAACATAACTAAAGAGTTGAGTTATTATTTTGGGAAGTGAATTCTTAGTTATTCGTCTTATCAAAAACTACAACGAATATTGGCATCGGATGTTTCAATTTACCACTCCTACAAAATTGGGGGGATAGTGCTATCGAATTATGCAAAGAAATATTACTGCAACACTTTGGCGACGAGGCGTTCCATTTTCAAAATTTGCCTCAACGTAAAAGCGTCACCAGTCAAGTAAGGCCACTCTTTTGGTACAATCGGGTAAGTCTCTTCCATTTTTCCAGCTAGCAACATAGCGGCAGCTCCGACTAATTGAAATTTTTCTTTCACCTGGAAATGATGAAACCAGCTTTTTTGACTACATTTCCTCGTTTCGCCTTTAAAAATAGAGAGGGAAAGAAAGTTTCTAATTATCTCAAATTTAAAGTAGACAGATAAGAAGTTCATAATTACTAACCAAAATTTCCTTTTTTAAAAGCATTTAAAGTAGGCAGAAACGGGGAGGGAAAAAAAGACCTCCAATTTTCTGAAATTATAAAACCACTGCTTAGGTACACATAGACAAAGAACTCTTAAAAAATCATAAAAATCAGAACTAGCCAACATAAAGATAAAAAGAAAGAGGGAGAGCAAAAAGAGAGCACCTCATGTTCTAAAATACTGAATTTTAAAAAATACAGCTAAAAAAATACTAAGTGGACATAGATAAAGAACTTAAAAACAATCGTAAGAAATAGAACTAACAAAACTAATTCATATATAATTGAATGACAAAATGTCTTTTTTATTAAATATTCCCCATATTAAAATAAACATCTTAAAGATAAAATTTATAGTAGACCTAACTATAGAATTAATAAAAAATCACAAACGACATATCTAACAATAATGTCATTTTTTACTAAACAGACGCTATATGGACTTAGAGAGAAAAAGGGAGGGAAAAAATTCTGTAAAATTATGAAATAAAAAAATGCCACTTAAAGAGATATTTAACTAACCAAAACTAATCCAAATAAAATTGAATGGAAATGTACTTTTTTGTTGAACATACCCCATAAAAGACAAGAGAAAAGAAAAAAGAAAGATTTAAGAAATTCTAAAGAAAAAACTGCCACAAATAGATATATTTATAGTAGACAGATAAATAATTCATTAGAAATCATAAACGACATATCTAAAAATAATTAACAAAAAAAATTGGAATAAAAATGTAATTATACTAAACATACTCCAAATAAAGGTGGAGATGAAGAGAGAATGAAAAAGTGAGCCTCTAGTTATCTAAAATTTTGAAATAAAAAAAATACAGCCCAACTAGAAATTTAAAGCAGACAGATAAAGGAATCATAAACTACATATCATCATAAACTACATATTTAACCATTATTAACAAAAAAAATGATTGAAAATGTCCTTTTTTAATTAAAAATACTTCACATAAGCATAAAAAAGGAGAGAAAAAAGAGGGATAATTCTCAACAATCCTGAAATAAAAAGAAATACCGCTTAAAGTAAACATAGATAAAGAAATCATAAAAATTTTTAAAATACATAACTAAACAAAACCTAAAGAAAATTGAGCGAAAATGTACTTTTTTATGAAGCGTGGCCCACATAAAGGTAGATAGGAAAGGGAGAGGAAGAAGAGATTCCCTAATTCTCTAAAATTCTGAAGTAAAAAAACTGAAAGTAGACGCATATGAATAATCCATATATACCCGTCAAAATATTTTTTTTTGTTTCGTTTTGCTCTGCCTTAATAATTATTACCAATTTTTAGTGCAAGAGAAAATTTTCAATTGGCATTGAGAAGAACAAAGACCCCGCCTTATAACAAAGTTACCCACTGTTTTAATAAACAACAAGAAAAAAACATTTCCATTTCAACAAAACACGTTCACTAAATTTTTTAGTTTAGTTTTTATTCTCATATTTCGATCAACCTATAAAACATAACATCCAAAAAATCTATCGAAGAGACTTTTTTATACCAAGAATCTTACAAAACCGAAACATAAGAGAATTTTTTTGTCGTACTATAATTATCGATGTCGTTTCTGATATGCCCTTTGTATGAGAAAATTTTATACAAAATGTCTTTCACTCACCACCGATATGTGGCATAAAAATCGATCGATGTAATTGATGCTTAAATGGAAAGTTTCATTGCACAGGTTGTACTCGTCCACGACACTAGCCAACCAATCCACAAGAATACTTCTCGTATTCCAATTTAAGTTCGACTGTTTTAGCATGTAACTTGATTTAGGGCCCGGATTCATTATTTCGAGTTTGTATAAGTGTTTCCATATATCCTAAAAATTTTAATTTACACTATGAAGTGCATCCAGCAGAAAGTCATGAAAATATAATATTCTATGCATTTACGATATTTTCTGGATTTCTAACGCAATAACAGTTTGAAAACAAATAATAAAAGAGCGTAACTGAAAAAAAATTACCTTTCTATAGTCCTCGCAGGTGGTTGGGTTGCTTGAGCAGCTATACGATTCCTCGATTATTTCAATTACCTCAACCTCTTCGAGTGGTTGGTTCTTCGGGTCCTGCTAAAATATTTCTACCTCTATACCTATTTCACAAAATATTCAGAATGACGTCACCTTCATCTCATTTTTTTTATCCAAATTTTCGTTTAATTCATCCCGTTTTCTTTTTGGCCTGACCGCTCCATTTGTCAATGATCGAAAATGCACCTTGTTTTCCACATTACTGGTTTTAAAAGTATTTTCTTTTTGTTTACGGCCCGGCACTTTTCTTACTTTACCTTCAACCCGATTTTCCACATCTTCGTGAATTTGAAATTGTGACATTGTAGACTCCTAAATTGACACTGACAAAGGCGATTTAACTAAAGTTAAACGAGTGCTTTCTCATCTTAAAAAAAAACGGCAAGTTTTTGCTACAACCAGTATCATTTTTTAATATTTAACCAATGTATCGTTTAAATCTTTTTTTTTTGAGGTATTAGTTATGTTCTAATCATTTTTCTTCATTTAATATATTTGGGAAATACTTGTTGGTCAGCTTACGTTTTCCAAGTTTACGTTTATTTTATTCAAATCTTTAAAGCAAGGAGCGGTTACAGTCCTGTTTTCGGTTTAAATGCCCTCTCCCGCAAGGGCGCGAGAAATGTCGGAAATTTCATATTGCTATCAAACCAATAACACCATTAAACGAAACTTGGTTTTTGTTTTTTAATTTATTTCACCCATAAGTTTTTAATTTCCTTGGCCATCTAGCAATCTTATCCGATATCTTACTTAGTCTTCGGCAGTGAATGCGGTTATAACTTATTCCCTGCTGTTTGATACTCTGAGGTTGCAGGCTTCGCACAACCGACCAATTCATTCCATGTGATGGCGTATTGACTGGCAAATAAGCATTCAGTGCGCAAGCCTTCAATCGTTATTCGTTTTGAGAAGGAAAGAGCAGCAAAAGTGTCAAAAAGTCATAAACAACCAAGTTTTCGCCAATTGGAGTTAACTTAAAGTGTACAACGCAAACCATTATCAAAAATAATCTAACTGATGCACTGAAGTGGAGTCAATCTGCAAACACGGAAGTTACTTTCGCGGACACGATGTCGAACCTATCAGCCATTGTTGTGTCATGTTTGCCAGTGGATAGAAAAAATTAAGCATTTTCAATTCCCGATCTCGGTGATGGGTGGACGCACTGAGATTATTCTGGAAGGATAGCCACGGGACGCAACTGCAGTTAAATTTCTGGTGTTGTGTAGTTTGATACAATCTGAATATTTTGTTAAAGGGCAAAGGCCTACTGTGTTGTAATTATTTTGATAGAAGCATTCTTATACTGTGACTTGACTTAAATAAACCTCTTTAAATATATCAAAAAAAGCTTTTTCAACTATTTGGCCATGTCTGTGCACTATAGGTTCAAGTCGGCTTTAGAATATGATACTATTACATTTGATGGCTTGCATATTTCCGTAAAGGATTTAAAAAACTCAATAATTCAGCAGAAGCGGATTGGAAAGAGCACTGATTTTGATTTACGGATTACAAATGCCCAAACGCAAGAAGTCTATGAAGATGAGCATGCACTGATTCCTAAAAACACTTCATTATTAATAGCTCGCATCCCTGTGGCGGTGCCGAAACAAAAACAGTGGGAAGGTTATGGTGGAAATGATACTCCCCCGGCAAAAATAGATGAAGGGGGTGCAATAGGAAAAGCAGTAGATTTGGCTAAACTTGACGCACCAGAAGATGATAAAATTAAAGCTATGATGTCCCAAAGTACACAGGACTATGATCCAAGCAAGTGAGTTTTTGGTGTATTAATGGTAATACGGTATCCATAAATTGGTTATTGTTTTTTTTTTTCGATTTTCACCTTTACTTTTTGTTAACACCTTTTTGTTTTTTTTGTTGTTTTTAGTTATGTTAAAATTCGAGGTGCCAATCAAGTTGGTCCAGTACCACCTTCTTACAGATGCTACAAATGTCATCAAACTGGCCATTGGATAAAAGATTGTCCCTTAGGACAAGGAGGGGTAAGCTTTGAAATCTACATCAATCTCTTAGGTTGATTAATGAAATGTGTTTTCAGGATTCATTAGAAATAAAAAAGAGTACAGGCATACCACAGAGCTTTATGGTACCTGTGGAGGGTCCCCAAGTTCCTGGTGCAATGATGACGCCTAACGGCCAGTATGCGGTGCCTGCTTTAGACTATCAGGCCTATAGTCAAAAGAACCCTCCACCAGCTGTGGTTCAGGAGGCCAAGCCTGAAATTCCTGAAGATTTATTATGTTCCATATGTGCAGATTTATTGACAGATGCTGTAATGATTCCATGTTGTGGTAAGTTGTTCGCAGCTATTTGATGAATTGATTATAGACCCTTTGTTGTAAAATATTTAGTACATTTTATAAATACCTGTATAGAAAGCCAATATTTGCCTCATTTTTGGGAGATTGCTCTGAGAAAATCTTTACCCAAAGATACTAATCCTAAAGAATGTTCAGGTTTAAGGGTTTTTTACTACTCCTGTTAAAAAGTTTGTAGAAACAGATTATCAAATATTTTAGGATTGGAGTGTACTTGTGTTATTCAATTATGATATGATTAATTATGTGCAAAATTAAAATGTCATGGCTTTGATGACTTGGCTTTGGACTTTGAGCAGAAAAAGTTGATAATTCAAAATGTTTTTTCTTCAAATGTTGAAATTCTATATGGAGTGCCACAGGGTGCAATTTTTTGTCCTCTGTTATTCATTAGTTATACATCTGATATTTTACAATTTCTAAATTTATATAAAATTTAGGCTTATGCCTGCATATTAATATCATAAAATAGATTTTAAGGATTATTTGCTGATAAGTCCGGATAGGTCAAAACTTGTATGCTTTATTAACAAAAATAGCAAAATGTGGTTACAAGAAACTAAAAAAAAAAACTAACCAAAACACAAATTAATATTTACTGATCATTAGACAATTTCTCGTTGAAAAATCTTGTTATCACTTAAATTGTGGTATTAGGAAATTCGAACCTATAGCATAAAATAAAAGAGGACAAATGTTTTTGCATTAAGGTTAACTAGGTTTAGCAATAAGTTTGTGGTTACCGCAACACTATTTGATAATTTTGATATTTGATAAGCAAATAACAAGTGGTTTTTAAGCAAGTGAGGCTGTTTGGGGCATTGCTTGAGTGTTTTTTGACATACCTTATATGCATTGTAGATAAATTTTAAAATTTAATCTTGCTCAAATAAAAGGAACTTAGTTAGAATTTTTGAGCAGTTCATAGTTCAATAAAAATTGTATGTTCTAAATATGGCAATGTTTTTTTTTTGTGTAATAATAGCCCCTATTTATTTCTGATTTCTTTTTTTAGGTAATTCATTTTGTGATGAATGCATTAGAACTGTGTTGCTGGAAAGCGAAGACCATGAATGCCCGGATTGTCATGAAAAGGAAATCTCGCCGGGAACTTTAATTCCTAATAGGTTTCTAAGAAAGTCAGTTGCCAATTTTAAAAATACCACCGGCTATGAGAAAAAACCGATGTACAAGGAAAAATCTCTCACAGAAGTGCCTAAAACGGAACCATCTAAGAGAGAGTACACACCGCCACCTGTCACTGCGGATTCAACTGAAAGAGAAAAAGGCAAGTCTGAAGAGGAGAAAACAGTTATTTCTGAAGCCGATTCAACAGAACAAGCTAAGAGTGAAGACTTGGGCAAGGTAAAGGGGGGATGATTTTTGAATCGTCCAAAATGTTAGTCGTGGTTTTTAATTTTATAGGAAGGCGATTTGGATCCAAGCAAATTGAAAATTTCAAATTCTCCGGACAGGCCGCCGGGTGTATCACCACCCATCTCTGGATCTCCCAAACACCAAATTAAAAGCAAAGTAAATTCGCGGGAAAGGGATCATCGTGAGTTTTGACGTTCTGCGCAGATTGACTTTGGACTTATCATTTTTCTGTATGATTTTAGGGAAACATAGGAGTCGAAGATCCGAATCGCCACCCATTAAAAGTAGACATAGGAGGTCTCCAAGTTACCACGGGAGGTGAGTAAACTGAACCTAACGTCCATGATGTCGGACTATTTCAGTGTTTTATTGGTTACAGTTACATTGTGTGTTACCACCATCGAATGACTACTGAAACCAAGTAAGTTTTTTTATGGACTAACGCAACCGTGTTTCTTTTAAAGCATGCTCGAAGGTTTCAGTAGTAATTAGATGTGCTGTGTTGGGTTAAAATGGAATGTTAAGATTGAGTTTTACGGTTAACCGGGTTTATTCTAGGTCTCCGCCAGAAAGACACGGCACTCCCACTCGTGATGAACCGCCCGGTATTGGAGGCCACTATCATCCGACAAATCCTTCACAATATGGTAGTGGTGCTGGCGGGCCATCTTCAGCGGGAGCCAGCTCAATATCCGGACAGGTAAGGTGGTAGATGAAGCGTAATTATTATTGCGTTGTTGCGATAACTAACCAAAAAATTAGTAACATTAAAAAAAGATAGTTACAATCCACAACAAAATAAGCTACAAGAATGCAATTAGTTTTTTATTTTTGAGCTAAATGCATTTTAAAGAATCATTTATAATCATGGTAAGCAATTTATCTGGTCTCTCTTAAAAATGTGTGAGAGATGAAGAGACTAGTGGCCCTCATCAATTTCGACTAAGCAAAAACCGACGCAGGAGGAATCCAGAAGTTTTGTAAAAAGCTTTGGTCACTTAGAAAGCTTCCTATTCGCATAAATTGAGGCCTCTCAGTTAAATAATTTTTGAACAACTCCAAAACAACTCCTCGGATTTCATACTTTTGTTCGAACTCGCTTCTTAGTTCGAGAAAGACAGCCGCATACTTATTACCATCTTCTATATAATAAGTAATTTGCTTAGCGAGCCCCTTCATAGCATCATAGAACTGATAATCTGCTTAAAACCTAATTGATTACTGTACCATAGATCATTACTATTCTTTTAAATTTAAATCGCCAATATCTCAAAAAGTACTGGAAATTGATAAAAACACTTTATTATAAAAATTATTCTAAATTGAACTCAGAATAATAAAAATAGAACTTTTAAGTGGATTTCCATTGGATTTTTTTACGAAAATCTGCTACATAAAAAGTTTTCAGTGTACTTCGAGTCAAAGCGAAAGTTTTGTTTTCACTTTTGTGAAATGTTTTTTTATTAAAAAAAAACTGTATCTGTCAATTTTCTAATTAAAATATGTTTTTTTCTTATTTAAGTGGACTATGGAAAAATAACATACATATAGAATTTTTTTAACGCTATTATCTCCACAACTGGAGCTGGGATATTCCCATGGGACAGAACAATAACAAATATACAGGGTGCTTCATTTAAAATAATAAAGTTTTCACTTCTGGTTAAACCAATATATAATTGCCTGTATTTTCTTATCAGAAATTAACCATTTCGAAAAGTTGGCCAATGGATTGTAGAATGTAAATTACCATTAAATAATTCTGCCAAATTTTGAGAAATAAGTCAGAATCTGTAAAATGCACATTGCCAGCCTAAACATTAGGTATACAGGGTGATTCGTAAAGAATGGACAGTCTGTATTTCGTTTTTTTTTTTCATTAGTTGAGAAAGTTTATCTATAAAAATCGTCAATTTTAGGTTTTTTGACATGGCAATTACGAATTTGAAACTTATTTGCACGTTGCTCCTAGAGGGCGTTAGTTTCGCCAATAATAATTTTGGTAATCATAATAAAATAAAATTTCGAATCAAAGTTGCAATTTCATAATATTTTGTGGTCTAGTGCCTCCAGTTTACACATTGCCTATCCTTTGTGTATCACCCTGAAATTCTGACTTAAGTGAGTAATTCTGCCTTTTTTTCTGGACTGATTCCTCAAGAATTTGCCTTACTAAGCTAAAACATAACCTTTTGCCGCTTTCGTACAATTTAACCTTAAGCAAAATTAAAATAATTAATTGTTTTGTAAATAAAATAAATTAGTATTCATTTTAAGGAAAGTTAAATTCGTCTTAAATTTATCTTTGGTTTGAACCCACACTTTTTCATGCTTCTGAAGTATTAAAGTAACGTATCTGTTATTATTGCCACTAATATGTGGTGTAACTCTAGGGTTCCGCTTCCGCATTACCTCCTGGAAATTTTCCTCCGGGCCAGCAACCGCATCTGAGTGGATTCCCGCCACAGGGCCCGCCCCCAAACTTCGGACTGCCGCCTCCGGGTGCGCCGCCTTTCATGGGACCTGGGTAAGTTGACCACGACGATGTAACGGGTTTCTCACCACATGAAGGGGTCATTTTTTAAAAAAATTTCAGTAGCTATTCGGTTGCGCCTCGGCCAGTTTTTGACCCGTCGCGGCCTCCGCTGGGCGCGCCCCCCGGCAGCTATCCTCCCGGATATGGCGGCGGTAGATCTCACAGGGATTACAACAGAGGCCGCAACAGAACCCCTCCCATGTAAGTACCTTTATTTTGACTAATTTAAATTTGATTTTGTTTTTAATTACCATAATGAATGCACGAAAGAGCATAATAAAAATATTGAGTGTAATTTGAGTAATAATATTAATTTATTTAAGAGCTATTGCTAAAAAAAAAACAATTACAAAATGAAATAGAGAAATACAGGATTATAAAGAGAAGAGCAAAAATAATACTAGAATAAAAATAACACAAAGAAAAGTTTAGCTTCTTAATCAATGTGATGGAGAGCTATTCTTACATTTAACATATTGTGATTATCATTTCAAGATTGTTACTATTGTTGCAAGGCAAATGAAGCAGCGAAACTGAATGGCACAATCTCAAGTACTTTTTCAAAATACTCATTGATACTGTATGGCTCTATAATAAACTATCAATCTTGTACAGGATAGCCTAATCTAGTAACAACTTTAAGTGACTGTATATTGTATTTTAGCAGGGATTGTATTTTAGCTGTGATTTTTTATGTCATTGCTAATTATCTAATAATGAAATTTTTGTATTAATTAATTTCGTCATATTTTTTATATAATATAACGTCTGTGTTAGAGAGAACCTACAATTTATCAGTTAAATATCAGTATCGGGTCATGTCCATTTTTAATATTTATCTATAAATTCTTTTTTGTTGTCGCAATAGATAATTTAAAATAATTACCTCTTAGATTCTTATTTCTATGATCATACTAAGCAAAATTGATACTTTTTTGTTTAATGTATTATGGTAACACTGAGCTCCGGTTCAATAAAGTTAATCTTTAAAATTGAACGAATTTTTGAACATGAATTTATATGTCTCGAGCGCCATCTACCTTGAGATTTATAAAACGTCTAGTAAATCATATTTAAAGCACATCATGTGATTACTGTTTGATAAAATAGGGCAAAAGGGTTTAAATCTATTTTGTCATTACTGTGGAATGGAAAATTTGAAATTTATTTCTTGTTCTTGATGCTGTGAAGTCCTTTCATACTTTTCTGTTTACAGTAAAACAGATGAATAATAACATAAAAAAAATTACAGTCTAATTTTAAAATTTTTGAAATTTTAAGTCAAAAAAGTAACAGTTGTAACGGAATCACCCATTTTTAATTACCTATCGAATGGTGCCGAGTGTGTTCTAAATAAAAGTTTTATAGTATCTTGTTGCCTATGAACAGTCAGTTTTGTCTCATTGTGCTCTAGGGTTATTATTTTTTTGTAATCTACACTTCCTATATTGTTAGAAGAAGCCCCTTTAAGCATTAGAACAGAGGTGTGGCTTTGCTTCGTCATCGTTGTCCCCCCAGAGTTAACTCCACTAGACTTCTTTTTATGGGGATACATAAAACTAATTGTTGACAACAGAGTAGCAATAGTTTCAAGAAAATAATATGTGTCCTTAAATAGACGAATATTTTAGAGTACTTAATGCAAATACGGAAAAACGACGTAAGATAGTATAGACAAAAATTCTTTTGACTCAACATATTTGTTCATCATTAACCATGAGTGTATCATTACGATTTTCTGGGCTTTAGAATAGTCACAATCAGTTACATGAAAACTACTGCTGAATTCTTCGTTAGTTTTGGTTAATTTCTGTTCTAATGTAGCGACTTTTATTTTTATATGCTTGTAAAGGCGTCCAAAAAGCAAAAAAAAAATTTTTCTTTTCAAATAAATCAGTTATGTTATGTTATGTCTTTTTGATACATTTGGAGTTCATTTTTTCTATTTTATGATCACCAAAAGGTTTAAAACTTCGAGATTTGGCTGTAGGTAAGGTGCAAAACATAAACAAAACAAAATGTAGCGTTCCATTTTAAATAATTAAGTTGTTGTAGCCACTTGAAAATATTATTAGATTAGAATAAATTTTTTGCGACCCTGTGTAAGGTAGAGAGCCTTTTATAATTTTAAAATAATTTTACAATTCAATAAGACCTCTGGCAAACTCTATAGTTTGCAAATAAAATTGAGAATGGTTGCATTGTTTTCATATGAGGAATTCTACCCATGTCTAATAACGTCATGCTGGTTTCCAAAAACGTTCACGTTAATTTTCACTATACGGTATTGGACAAAAATATTATGTTATCTTGCTAAAATAGAGGCAACGTTACGTGCACGGAGTTTTACATTTTTAAAAATACCGATATATTTAAAAAATGCTAATAACATCCAACAAAAGAGCTGTAAAGTCACAGCCTGCTAAGCTTCTAGGTATCTTTCTCGATACCTTCCTAACCTGGTCGGCTCATATCGAGTATCTATGTTCCAAACTCTCGTCTCAAATCTTTGCATTAAGGCAATTAAAAGACTGCATTTAGCAGAAGACCTTAAAGACTATCTACTTTGCACTCTTTCACAGTCATCTGACCTATGGCGTGCTTCTTTGGGGTAACTCTTCAGATGCTGATCGGGTTTTTCGGCTTCAGAAGGCAGCAGTTCGCATTCTCCAAGGGGCTCCTCCTGGAGCACATTGTCGTGAGCTTTTTATTAAATTTAAGATTCTAACTCTGCCTTCCCTATTCATATACTACAACCTTCTGGAGGTCCATGCTGGTTTGCAGAGGTATCCTACTCATGGTGACTAACACTGCTACGACACACGCGGATCTAGCAATATTGTTCTACTTAAGTCTAGATTAGCCACTACTCAGAAAAATAAACTAAATTTGAACATATATAACATATTTGTGAACAATTATACCGCTTGTATAAAGCTAACGCTAAGCAATTTACGATAAGAAAATTTAAGTTATCGGTTAGAAGCTATCTTTCCAGTTATGGTTTTTACTCAGTTGAGGAATTTCTATCGCATATCCCAAGAATATAGTGTATACTGTTAACTCAAGCAAATATTTTTATTTATATATTTTTTTTTCTATAAACATATGTTTATATACATATTATTTTTTCTATTTCTTGTTAAATTTATCAAATTGTTGTATTTATATTTTCTTCTTTTTGTTATTGTTGCTGCTATTTCTATTTTGTTATATTACTGAGTTTCGACTTCACAAATACATGTATTTATAGGTGGTCAATAAACGATATCTATCTATCAGCTGCGATTGTTCATTATAACATGCTGTATATATTTTCTCGTCATTATTTAATATTGGAAAGTTGACATACCAATGTTTTCGGCTCATTGACTGATATTTCAGTACAAAACCTTAAAGCTATATTATATATTAAAAATGAATTACCATCCAACATCCGCTGCACAGTGCAAAATTGTGACAAAATGTCCATCCTATATACACCCAAAATAGTTGCTATCCCACGGACTTCTAAGATTCTAAATAGAATTTGTATCCCTTCAGATCCATACATTGCCAGTTTGTGAGGTATTCCGACAACTTATGGGGATACGGAATAATTACAGCTAAGGTCATTTATTTATTAGAGGACAGTTGGCGAAATGCAGTAGTAACTTACTTATATTCCGAAATATCGGCAACTTCATATAACGGTTTAGGGTTTTCATAATTTAAGGAGTTTTTTTCCAACGAAAATCCTTTTCCGTGGATAACACCAAAGTAAATTGATCTGTGTGGGTGTATTTATTTTCAGTTTGTTTTAGTATATAATTATTAATAATGAGCATTATTTATATTATTTATTTAAATCCATTTTCGAATTCTGCTTCAAATTTGTCGCATAGTTCATGTAGCTAGTACCAGTAAAAATTTTTTAACATCTAAATGAAATTCAAAGAATTGAAATTTTAATTTTTATTGGATATGGAGACAAAACGAGAATGCAAGGAGAAGTTCGTAAATTTTTTCACCCAAAAACTTCAAAAAGACCGTTTCAAGGTAGACAGTGGGTAAAAGTGAGAGAAAGTGGCATGTCAAAGAAATTATTTTATTAGGTTTGAAAAACTATCACCATTACCTTGGAGATATGCCAATCTGTTTGAAAACCTTTCCCAGGATGTTTTCATTAATTTCCTTATTTCGTATCTAATTCTACATTGCAAATCATCTAAATTTTGAGGTTTTTCCTTATAGCTTCTTTAAATATCCTGAGATAAATAAACCTGTGTATCTGGCATATCAGGCTGATTTGGATTTGGGAAAGACACTGCGAGAGAGGGAATTAAGTCATTTTGAAGAAATTTGTAAATATGGATGGGGTCCCAGTAAGATTTTCATCGAATAAGTTTGTTATTCAAAATTCCTGCAGAAACAATGGGGGATCATTTGTACACCAATACCTCCAAATTTATTTGTCTAGAGTACCATTTAAACAAAACGTGACTTCATCGCTAAAAAGTATTTCATTTCACATTCATTCATTTATTCACAGTATGGTTTCACAAAACTGTAGTCCGCGATCGGAATGTAATCGTGTAGGGGTGACATTTTTCTTCTTTTAATACAGGCAGAGCTGTTCGTTGGCTAACATCATTATTTACAGATACTTCATAAGATGCACGATGGGGATTACCCTCAACTTTTAATAAAATGTTTAATCTTGTATTCTCATTAGTTCCTTTACGAACTGGCCGTAGACAATATTTTACATGCCCTGCTTCTATAAATTTTCTCCCAATTTTACTCACTGTAGATCTCGTAATGGGTCTTACTGGATAAGTTGCTTTAAAGAAATTACAAACTTCTTAACTTCTCGTTTTGGGTTTCATTTAGATACGTCATATTCACTTTCTTCACTGACAGAAATGTAATTGTAACTATTTAAGAATTTTACTGGCCTAGCTACTTACGTGTTCATTTTAATATTAAATTCCTATTTCTATTTTATTTTGTTCTTAAAATATGGGGGTAGGTGTAGGGTATGCTACATGAATTATGCTTGAAATTTGAAAATGGATTTAAAAAAAAATCCATTAAAAAAAGGAACTGTATATCCAAATGTTTATGAGAAACAATGCACAAAGAAAAATTATGATGGACGTGTAGGAGCATTTTTCTGAAAATCCAATACCTAATTTTTAAATAAATTTGTTCCATATTTTAGCCGTGTAGCGTGAATCAACGATGGAATAAAGTTCATTATCTCTTTGGTTTCAAAAATTATGAGAACATGGTAAATACAAAAGGTATTTTTTAACCTTATTTTTAAATTTTGTTTTGAATTGCTTTTAAAATTCTTTAACTTTTTTATTGCATATACATACCTAAACCTAATAGTTCTGCCAATATTTTAATTTTTCTAAGAAAAAATTACTAATTTTCACACTTGAAAAAAAATTACGATTGCGCCATTATTTTTAAAGGTAGCTATTAGCTTTATTCAAAGATGACGTGAACGGTATACGAGAGTGTTTTAATTTGGTTATACCAGTTTTAAACGTAGATTAGTCAAGCTTCTCAAAATACCGATTTAGGAAACAGGTACTAGTCTCTGGGGGCTAAGTAAGGAATGTCAAACTTTAATTCGTTGATTTCCGACGAATTTTTTTCTTCGACAAATAAGATCGTTTAATTTGCACCTGGTGCTTCAAATGTTGCAAAAAATCTGCGTAGTATTGACCAGTGATAGGCGTATCATTTTGAAGATAATCAATGTATATAATTCCTCTCGCATCCTAAAAAACCATAGCCATAACCTTATTTGCGATAAAATTGTTTTAGCCTTATTTGAAGTTGGTTCCTCTCTTGCAATCTACTACTAGTGATGATCTCAAGTCACATTAACAGTTTTGGAATGAATGCAAAAATTTGTTTCAATTACACTTACAAAGCGTCAAATTGTCGATAGAAACGTTTTTTTTCGAATCAGTTCTTAGTCGAGCGTTAACCGACCTTGCACGCAGCTTTTCCATGGTCACATGGTTGTGCAAAATATTTCGCACACGTTCAGCTGACATCCTATAGGTCCATTCCATCCAACACTATTTCATGGAGTTTCTCAATCATTTTTGAAGTTGTGACCGCAACGGGCCTTCCTGAGCGAGGCTCGTCGAAGGTGCTCATACGACCCATTTCAAATTCAGAAACCTAATGCTTAATAATTGAATATGACGGGTAGTCTCCTAGTGTTGAACCCATCTCTTCTTTAATTTGTTTTGGTGTAAAGCCTTTGAAATAGAAATATTTGATGACAGCACGTTTTTTCAATTTTTCCACTTTCACAGAAAACAAGGGAAGCGTTTCGTGCAACGTGGCCTCAACCGCAAAATAACATAGCGATTAGGCTGAAACTGTACATACAAGCTCGATAGGAACGGTGCTGTAGAACGCCGCTCTAAAAGTGGCGCCACCTCTTGGTCAGGCTGGAAACTTCTCACCCCATTCTCTTATGCTACAGATTTTTAATTAAGTGCTAAGGTCTTACAAAAACCTACAACTTTTATATCATATTTTTAATACTTTGCGATTTAATTTCTATATTTACCTGCCAACTAAATATATACATTCACAAAATATGTTGTGTTAATTGGAAAAAAAAGTATATATTACCTTAAAGCCTAAAATTAAAAAAAATACTTTGTTTTGCTGTAAGATTTTACAATGCGAAGTACCCTAGTACTAGACTATCTCTTCAATGTTTAATGAAACGGTTTGGTGCTAATGGTAGTATTCAGTACGAAAAACGGAAAGTAGTAAACTGTAATGAAGAAAAAGAATTGGGAATTTTACTTCAGGTTCAAGATAATCCCTAGGTCACTAGCCGACAAGTGGTTAGTTTATGTCATGCATCCCAATGTAGCGTTAATCGCTCCGCTGGAAAATATAAATATCATCCCTTCCATATGGAACTACACCAAGAACTTTTAGTTCGTGATTTTAAAGAAAGGGTAAACTTTTGCACCGTTATAAATGAAGCAATTGAGGCCGCTCCAATTTTTTTGTGTATAGTATAACATATAGTCTATCCACTCTGGGTACAGGATGTACAAAACCAAAACCATTGCTCGCTTAATGTGCGGTGAGGAATAAACCACTTAAAAGTTATTGGACCATATCTTTTTGAGAACCACTTAACGGGCCTAGATATTTAAACTTTTTGCGGAATGATTTACCTTAACCTCTTCAAGAAGTTGAAATCCAACAAATGCGGTTTTGGTAAGATGAGAGAGGATTGTTAAATTATCTAATAATTATAATAATTTCTAGCCCCCTTAATCATGCCACTTAGTAGCACTAGAGTTCTTGTTGTGGGGATATGTTAAAGATCGTATTTATGTGAATCCCCATAAAATACCAGAAAATCTGAAAAATAGGATTCGCGACACGTGCAGGAGATTAACACCGTTTATGCTAAGGAACGTCCCAAAAAAATACACGAAAGACTGAACATGTGTATCCACATCGAAGGGCGTATTTTAGAACATTTAATGATCCATAAGAATATTTAAAAATCAGATAAGTTAATTTGTTGTTATAGGTATTTAATATCATTTACTTTTTCTGTGAATATAAAATTTGGCAGTTATTTTCACCAAAATTGCTAATAACTGTTGCTTTATCTACGACTCCAACAAACTTCGCTCTCCTGTTTATTTTTTAATCTTAACAGGGCCCTGTTGGCTAATAGTTTCATCATATTTCGTAATCTTGTAGTAATAGTTTTACATAGAAAGAAGGGTAATAATTGGTAAATAAATCGTAAGGTAATAAAAGTTGGAGGTTTTCCTTCTCCGAGCTGATAATAGAATGAAACATATTTTAGAATAAATTTAGTTTATCAGAAAATATATTAAAAATGGGCTGCCTATAAAAATCCTTGACAGACTGTTTTTAAAAAAATGATTTTTTATTAAATTTGGCAACTTTAAGATAATAAGCCGCGGGATTGCCTTTTATTTACCTGGACGAACTACTGGGTTGGCAAGTATGAACGTGTATGTCGATGCCAGTTACCTTCACAAGAAAAAAATTTATATCAACAGTAGCGCTGTTTTATTGCGAACGCGTTGATATATGGTCGTCCACAAAAAAATAGGGATTTCCGAATTTTGAAACATCTAAAGTTTGACGCGAGTTTAAATGTGCGACAGAGATATCTGAGGTGAAATATTAAATAAAAGACGCAACATTGCAGTCGCACCTGGTGGAACCACAAATATAAGAAAGTGCCCAAAATAGTTAATTAAATACATAATAATCAAATATATTTAATATAATATTAATCAATACAACATCAGTTAAATAAGCTGCAAATTTTAATAATTTTTTTTTAAATATTTAAAAATAGCCTGTCTAGGATTTTTTAGACAACCCATTTTTAATATATTTTCTAATATACTAAATTTATTATGAAATATGTTTCCTTCTGTTGTCAGCTCGGTAAAGGTCGATTTTTATTCGAATCTCCTAAATATGGTGTGCCATTTACGAAAAACGAGATTTTTCAATTTAAAATTATCCATATATATTTTACTTGATTTTCGAATAACGCTATTATCAAATAATGGCGGTATCGAAACTGCGAGAACACTGTTTTTTTAGAAAAAATTAAAATATTTGAAAAACTAGTAGGTTTAGGTATTATTAGGTATTATTATTAATAAAATAGTTGAAGAATTTCAAAACGAATTAAAAAAACAACATTAAAAATAAATAGGGTGTTCCATTTAAAAAAATATATTTTTTATTCGTCTCCACCCTGTATATTGTAAAATAATTTTAAATTGTGGGTCCTACAACTTTTTTATTAACCATTGTTTCATCACTTTTGAAAGCAGTGAGATAATAAACTTTACTCTATCGTTGACTCACTCTGTCTATTCCCTTAATATTAAAAACACATTTAGAAGTTATTTATTTATTAATAATGATGTATAAGATGTCATTGCATTGCATTAGGGTTGTGGAATTGACTGGTCAAATTTTTTATGTCAATCTTATTCGAATATTCCTTGAAGAGGGTTAGAGGTAAATTAAACTTCGCAAACGCATAATAATTATAAAATTCATGTCATTATTAAATAATGTTAGATAACACTCACTCTACGATTGCATTATGTAATTTAAAACATTTTGATCGAATTTGACTAGTCAATTAAAAAGTGCCAACACTATGTGTATTTAGAACTTTACTGTGCCTGTGGTTATTAATTAAAATTATTAAGGTTGATCGAGGATCCCCTTACGGCGTTCAATCGCATACTGCGCGAGAAAGACGAACGTCGTGCCAAGCAGCGTTACATACGCAGGAGTTGGAGCAGGAGCCGCAGCAGGAGTTACAGCAGGTCGCCGCCGCCGCGGCGGCGCAGTCGCAGCCCGAGACGGCGGAGCAGGTCGCGGTCCTTCTCCATTAGCAGGTATGATTTGTTGTAACGTTTGTCGGTGGCGGTCGAATCGTAACCCCGCGTTGTCGTTAAGCGTGAAGCGGCCCAACTAAGGGAGGGAATATTTAGGATTGTTCCGAAAGTTATGTAGTCAAAAAACGTATCACACGCGCGCACACCCACACACTACACCGTTGTCATTAAATTTTAGGTCGCGTTCTCGATCATTTTCAAAGAGCCCAAGGGGATCGCCGTACAGGCCGGGTTCGCCCGCCTCGAGGCGTTCCCCGTTACCCCCTCCGGCGAGCAGAAAGGGCACATCCCGGTATCGTTCGCCGATCCGATCACCTCCACCAAGGTTAGTGAACGGTATATGCCAAAATCGCAAAAAAATAACGCATGCGTTGTATTTAGAACCTAACTGTGGTATATTCGTAGTGCGTTACACGTGCTTAGTGGCACTTAGACTTTTTATATTTCGATTGCTGCCCTGAGTGATATATTCATTTGAAATCTCCACTAAATTCCTTCGACTGTTCGGAAGTGCCTTTTAGAGTTTGCGTTTTTTTTGTATAAGCTAAAACGCCAAAATACTAAAAGTCAATGTTATTTTTAAACCGGAAAACCAGAAGCAGGACGCACTTATTATTTATGTACTATCAATAATGCTCCCAATTAATCAAAATTAGTACAAAAAAATGGCACCATGGCCTATGATTAAGAGTAAATAAATTTTTAACAACATTCGTCGAAGCTGGTGTACGGTATGTCTCAAAGTATATCGTTCTGCCTTTTCTCGGCAATTATCGAAATACGTAGCACATAGTGACGAATTTTTAAGGTGTCGTTAAAATATAAATATTGAATATTATATTATGTTTATTTATTTAATACTATGACAATAAATGTATACAAATTATCAATAATGGAATAAGTAACTACGTTTTTATCCAAAACCTAATTCTGTTTCACTCTTACGGTCGTCATTAAGATTATTTGGAATGTAATAATTTTGCGGTATTTAAATTCCATTTTACAAATTACTCTATGGAGGGTGGTAGGGCGAATAATTGCATTGGTTTCATCTTCCTTTCTAGTTTATCCCAAGTAGGTGGTTTTGATAGATATTTTCATTCTGATCACTATTGTTCAGAAGATAATACTGAAAATCACTTCATTCAATAATTCAATATTAGCAAAATCACTATTTACAAATCTTCTGGATTCCTGCTGCATCGGTTGGTGATGGATCGAACTTGCTAATCTTTCGATTACTACAATGGGACCTCGGTAATCCGGACTAATTAAAAACTTTTGTATCAAGAACTAAAACTTTTAATACCGAACAACTCGAACGTAAAAGATATTCAAAATAAAATCATATTTCATTTGCGTAATTATGTAATTTTTCTTTGCTTGATGCTCTTCTGGTTCACCATAAAGTTGTTTCTTTTAATATTTGACTTACAAAACCATCATTTAGTGACATATATTTATACCCATATTAAAAAATTTGTTGGCTTACATGATTTAATTGTGTATCTTCATGTTGTTTCCTCTGTAGCTCAGTCCATGTCTTCCAGTGATAACAAATTTTCATCCTCCAATTCACCAATTATATATTTCTCCGTTCGTGAGATTTTGCTCAGTGAGAACATTCAGCACATTTGAAACATTTGTTAAATATAAACGAATTAACAAAGGAATAAAAACAGAAACCAACCAGAAGAAAGCAGGTAAGGTCGCAATTTAGTAAGAGGAATCGGATCTTCAGCGTCATATTCAGTGTCTGGTTTGGTGGGCCATAATATTATGCAAGCACTTCTCCAAGGCTTCCTGGAGACCTTTTTCCCAAACCTTACATAGTAAACATACATAGTCATTCCATCAATAGATTTTAATAACTCAACAACATTTTTTTCGTTATTATATAAAATATGGGTTAACAGACAATTTGGTGGAACAAATAAGGTGATAAATTGTCAGCTGTTCTATATTTCAATGGATCGAGGCTTGCTCTACAATTAGCAGGGGCCTTTTGACCTGACAAATAAAAAAGTCATGAAACCAATGCACGAAAATTGTTGAGGTCATCTATGCATTGGCAGATTTATATTTAACAGGTATGTTCGCATTTTTGAAAGCTCTCGGATTTTTTGCTTTTCCTGTCACGAACAGCTTCTGTGGTACCATCAACATTGCAACATGCTAGAAAGGTAAGGCGTTCTTTGCTTATTTTTCTACCTGGGTAGTCTTCTTCTGAGAACGAACCAACTTTTTTTTCAATGCAGAGCGGATTCATCTGTATTATATATCTGTGTAGGTTTGAGGGTTGATGATTTCCGTAGATTTCAGTATAAAACTGTTTTGCTTTGGCAGATAAAATTTCGTAGCAAATTGGGGCTTTGGTCGTTGCTTACCGAACCAGGCATCCAGAACGTGTTTCCAATCTTGAATATTCGGCTTTTCCGAAGTTTTCCTGTATTTATGAGACGTAGATTCTCGCATTTCTCTTTGGTAGAAAAATTGATTACATGTTAGAATTTTAGTGTGGTTGAATACAATTTGATGCCATTTTCATAATTGTGTTCGGCAGATGCTGATTAGTTAATTTTTCGTGGTCTTTAATCTCGTTTATGTTCTTTTACCTTAGTTGATGTTTTTCATCCTGTCTCTGCAATGTAAACCCCTGGTCTTGCGTATTTTATTTCTGAGTTCCCTCATTCGGGTTGAGACAGTCTTACTTACCACTAAATAAACAAGAGAGTTGATAATCGATTATTTTTGGGCCGAGTGGTGATGTGACCTTGCATTAAGTATCAGTTTCTGTGCATAGGTTTTCCATAAACGCGGATGACTCAGTTTTATATTTGATTTTCTGTTAATAGGACTATCTAAAAATGGGAGATTATTATTAAACCGCACATAAAATTTTACCGAGAATTGTTAGAAAACCAACCAATCTTTGACCGTGACTCAGATCTTTACCTGGAAACAATATCGGAGTCATCCATCCAAAACAATGTTTATGTCCCTCAAACAGTGTTTTAACAGACACGGAGTAAAATGCAAACCAGTTTCGGTTAAGCTCTGAGGAAACCAACAGGTTGATGGGAGAAACCTCAGCAAGTTCGAAACATTATCAACCGACGCAGGAGCCATCCAGAAGATTCGTAAATAGTGATTATTGGTAATAGAGAATGGAAGATAAAATGTGGTGATTTTCAGTATTATCTTCTGACCAATAACGATAGAACGATAAAAACGAAATTACTTTCCCTTTGTCAAGCAGGTGGACTTTGGATAAACTAAAAAAGGAGGTAGAAGAAATTTTGTTTAAAAATATTGCAGCTTATATATATTCGTCGAGGATATTTTCATTTTTGTAAGTAGGTAGGTTTTTTTAAAGCTTCTTGTTTAATGGGAGCTCCACTCATTAAGAATGCGTACTTTTTTTTATAATTATTTTGCGTCTAGTGAATGACAATGACAAAAAAGCCTTTTTGAAACACACGGTAAAGGGGATTATTCGACACTATCACTGATATCAGCTGACACGTGGTAAATATCTACCTTTGAATAAATTATTGGTTGTTGGGTTTACCCAATAACAACAGGAATGAAGGCCGTAATAACTTTTTGGGGGTGGATCCGTCAAAAGAAAAAGCGATATACTTTGAGACACACCATACCAGCTCTGTGAAATCTTTGTGAACTAATAATGTATTTTGTAAGATTTCCGAGCGTTTTCGATTAATTGTAGCATTTGTAATTAATAAACAAATTAAACTTTAAAAATCTCAATATTAAATATAAGTATTTTGAAGTTAGTTATTTTTGATTTTTTGTTTTATTCGGGGATATCCTTAGTTCGTTTTGATGAATTCAGTTAGGAAAATTTTTTGAAGAAAAAAATCTATTCTCTTTTGTGTTTGGCTTTAATTATAAGTTTCTTCGTCATCCATATTAATAATTATAGAAATTCTTAACTTAATGTGTTAAACTTGTTATTTTCTATGAAAAAAAAAGTTAATAAGGATGAAAAAAAATTACGAAACAAAATTTTTATGCCCGTTTTGAAAGTTTATGAATGACAATACTCTTTTCTAATTTTCGACATGTTTTAAGTGCATTATTTTACTCTTTATAGTAAAAACGAGTTGAAAAAATTGTTAAAATAATTTTTCAAATATTGTTTGAGAGCTTCTATTATATCGAAGAATTGCAGGTAATAGGGTTTTGGCATTTTCATAAATAATTGCATCTATAAAAACGTAAATTTTGTGGTATGTATTTCTTCAACTTTTAGTAGAGTACGTATTGTTTAAAGAGAGTTTATACTATTTTGAGATACCCTTTTTTGTAATATGAATTACCTACATGGCGGCCTTTTTGAAAATAAACCTCTCGCGATTAAGTGATAATTCAAAAACTACACAGACAAAAAACACTCGTTTACTTGATCGTCATTCGTCCGTTAAACTGTATAAAGGATTTTATTCCACTGTGGAAAGATCATAGAAATATTCTCAAAAGACGATACGCTTATCGAGGGTGTTTTCAAAAAATCGCTGCAAATAATGTAAAAGCACTATGAACATTCTGCGGTTCTGGTCTATTATTGTGGTAAGATTCCTTTCCAATCCGCCGAATCGCTGGTTGGATTAAAGGTTGAATTATAATCAATACTTTAATCTTCCTCGGCCACCAAAAACATTAGAATGTACATCATTAATAATTTTATAAATGTTTTTCCCTTGCTAAAATTTTGAAGGCACCCTCGGAGACTATGTATACGGCCCGAAATAACAGCGTTAAAATTAGTTACCCTGAGGTAAGCATATCATTGGGACACGCGACACTCAAAAGAATTACCATTTTTTTTTGTTTTTGTCCACTTGTATTTTTTGTTATGTTCCGCTGATTTTTGTTGACATTGTTTCTATGTCTGTTTTGGCATTAAACATTTTTTTTGAACATATTTGTCAAAATTAATCGACTCTTACTTAGCTTAATAATCACGCAGCCAGCGTCGAAGCATTTTCCTAAGGTATGAAGAAAGTAATTAAGCATTTTATGAATGACTGGTCCTGCTTACTTTTATCTTTCTTATTAATGAAGGTAACGTGTTGCGGCTTTTTCCTGAAACTGAAGGTAGCACAAACAGAATTTTTTAGTTGGATTTTTAGGTACAGGATAATTTTCAAAATGTTGCGTTTTCAAATGGAACACACTGTGCAGTTGGAAATGTAGTAATTATATTAAATGCAGTGGTAAGGTACTAAAAATTTCCTCCTTCTAATTCTCTGCTAGCGGGAGTTCGGTAATCAAATAAAAATCCATATCCTCTGTATTTGTTTATATGCGCAACTTTATTTAAAAGCAGCCTAAGAATTCAACGGTCAAATATTAAAGGGCCGATAACAATTCAATAATTTTTGGTGTACAGCCTTTGAAGTACCGCAAAATACGAATAAGACGATCTCAAAATCTGAAACATAACAATATTATCAATTTTAAAATATTATACGCTGAATCTACCATCATCAGCGTTGACAGTTTTAAAGTGAAAAACCTTGCAGCTCTCAGGGCGGACACTTTTTTGGCCCTTTCCATTATGATCAATAGTAACTTTTGAGTTGCCAGATCGGTTTCGTTCCAAACGACTTCGTAACACGCCCTTGTAATTTCGTTGCTCTGAAAGCAAAATTTGAAGGAAAAAGTAAAAAAAAACTAAACATTTTGCCGGGTATAGTTGGAAAACGAATTCCTATAACGGGCAAAAAGAATACTAAAACAACATAAGTTAGCCATCGCACAGATCACAAAAGTATAAACCCTACCCAGAGTAAGAAGAACCACCTTCATGAGGCTATTCTTGGAATGTGTAACCAATTTTCTGTATTGTCAGACGAAAATTTTCTCTTTGATGTTGTAACTTCAAATTTTTTGCCGTTCTTTTTTTAGCGAGGCACTTGTAATGGTTTTATACATCTGTGTTTTTCGAAGTTCAAGGTTTAAGGTTTGGTCCATTTACTTGCTTTGGAATGGGTCGAATATTTTTTTAAATACTGAGGTCTGACTTGTTTGAAGACAAAAAGCTCATCACTTGTTGCATGTCTACTGAATTGATATATACCATTTGATTGTATTATTCTTTTAGCTAAGCCTGAGTTTAGCCACATCAAAGTGGTTCATTGCACGCCCTGGACATTCTTTTTGGAAAACATTAACTTCAATTACAAAAAATTTCTTTATTGAATCATCCAGACTACTACTGTAGTCGATGTTATGTGTGAGATGGAATAGATAAAAATATAACATTGTTGATGTTTGAAGCTAAATCAAGAGCATGATAGCTTGTGTATGACTCGTAATTATCGAGAATCAACAGAGGTTCTGTTTCAGCAATAGCCAGTACTTTTTGTACAAAATTTTTGAGTTTGGTCGCCGTTGATACGTTAAATCTTTGATTAAATCTCTTTCTCTTGAAGATGGAAGAATGCGGAATACTACGATTACCACAAAATCTTTGGAGACTTTGTGGATGTTGTTCTGACTCCAGCCTCATATTTTGAACAATATTGCGGTTTTCCAATATTATTTTCAACAAATCTAGTCACTGATGCTTCTGGGTGTCAACTTTTTATATCCAAGTTTTTAAACCAACTTTTTCTAGCAACATTTTCTTTAAAGCATCGCCCCTTTCCTTTTATTCGAACTCTCCACCTTGTTAAACCATAAAAATTTAATAATTCAGTTTCTCCCTACCAAGTTATACCGAATTTTTTCTATATAGTTTTTTCTTATTATATTTAGATCCATTAATTTTTAAAACTATAGAGTATTTAAATGTACAGGGCTAAGTAAAAGCTTGTTCTTGCAATGAATGAATTATTCAAGTTTGGAGTTTGAGTTTTCATAGCGAAGTTCGGAGTGTGTAGATCTTGATTAATTAATCCTTAATCTACTAATTGGACAGTGTAATGTTTTTCTAAAAAAGACTATCGTCACGTTAGTTGGACCACAGATTTAATGATGGGGTGCAAACTGAACACAGAAGTATGGCAATTACCTAATACCCAATTCGAAAGTGCAATTACCTTGTCCATTAAAAGCTGCCCGTACCAGCAATATATGATCAGTTGACACATCATAGTCGAGAAATACACCACCAGCGATAGAAATTGGGTACTTCGCAGAGAGATCTACAAAAAAAGACCAATTATGGCTTTCGAATTGATTTTAAATAAATCAAGGCAACTCGCTACCACTATCATTTGAAAGCCCGTGAGGCAAATGACCACAACGCTGCAAAAAAACTGAACGAATATACCGTTGGAGAAGGTATTCTCGATCAAATCGACTAACCTGCAAAATTGATCGATAAATTTGGGATGAGGTAATCACTACGTCTATGTCTGAACCGTTAATCCGGATTGAAACGGAATTTACTTTATTCAGGGTGTTATTAAAATGACACATTGTCAGTCAGTCAATAATCTTTGTCCCTCCACTTTGATGCCGACTCTACGTTTTTTGTAACTTGTTTGTAACAGATCCAAAAGAGAAAAGATCAAGGTGATATAACTACAACTACATAGAAAGCTTAACCTTAACCTTAAACCTTAACTGGCAGTGGTCTAATCGAATGGATTATGTACCAATAAAATGCATAGGTTTTAAAATTTTCACAAATTTTCTAAAGTACATTGTGTCTTTTTTTCACCTTTTTATTATTATAGAACGATTATCACGATTATTACAAACTTGAGTTTTAATTTTGGTACCTGGAACAGTGGCTCACTCGACGGCCTCAACAATTGTCACTTTGAATCAGATCCGGAACCTAAGTTGGGGAAAAGACCGAATTTTTGATCAACAAAAAAGAATAATCGAATCAATATACTATATTCATCTATTATGTAGTTAAAACCCCTCGAGTAATGCAGATACTTTCTCCAACTAAAAAAATTAACTCTGGCAGATATTTACATACTTAAACTATTAATTTATGCATGTAAAAATTAAGAAAACTTTCAAACTAGGTCTGACTGACAGACTCGACAAGAAACAAAAGCAGCTTGCGTTAAAGAAACTTCTCTTAATTTTGTTATAAATATGACCTTCACATTCGGAAAGCATATTATGATATACTATAATATGAATATATAAATATACTATATGATTATATAAAAAATAAAAAGTTCCCGTATCCCTTTGGTGATCTTTTCATGTAATATTCCCTTTTTTATTATTTATGCATGTTGCTACTTTTACAAATGTTTTTATAAAATTACAAATAAAGCAATCCATTTATCCTTTTACATAAATTTAAAAAAAAAATAACCTTAAAAGTGATTTTTTTTATGATTATGATAATAATAATAATAATCAACATGTTAACATTGCTGAGTTAGTTAACTTTGGTTATTGGTAATGATTGGGAGTAGAAAAATGGCCGTAATTGGCGCATATTTTAATAATTGCATGACTCAACTATTGATTGGTTGTTAAAAAAAATTTTTTTTGATAAGCAAGATGGACAAAATAAAATATTTTTTATTTTAAGATTAAATTGAATAACAAGAAGTTGGTACCAAGAATGCGTCAGTTAAAAAAAAAACAGTAACTAAATTGCAAAAGTTTCCTATGAGCGATTGTAGATTTATAAAAAGCTTCCAGCTAATCAATTGCAACTTCCAGGTGCGATGTTGACAGTTTTGGGTATATGTCGGTTTATTTAAAATCTGGGTGTTCAAATCTACTAAAAAAACGAAAACAACAATTATAACTGGGTAAGTGTCTATTTGGTAGAACGTAGAACGAGATAAAACAAATGCAATCAGAGAAAATATCAACCCAAAGAAGGTTCCTGGATATTACAAGCGCAATCCTAGAGCAACTACCAAAAAAAGGCGTGATCCAACTGACACCTATTATCAACGCAGCATTCAGTCCTAAGTATGTACCTGCTTTGTGCAAAGTAGCTGAAGTCATAATGATTCCTGAACCGGGAAAACTGCCAAACGAAATTTTCTAATACAGACCAATGTCACATTTTCGCAGTTTGTATTTAGAGGATAATAGACCAGGTGCACAGTATAACTAATGTCATAGAAAAATCATTAGGCGAAAAGAAAGTCTGTTCTTCTGAAATTCTGAAAATTGAACAAACTCTTGCCCAGACAATATGCACAACATTGCACATATCAGAACGAGCCTGTAGAATAAAGCATGAAGAAGCTTATTCAAATATTAAAAAAAATAAACGCTGCTACAAGGTAGTGTGCTTGGAACGTTCCTATACCACATGTAGACTAGTGACATTCAGCAACTATAATATGATACTAGTGCTACAGTGTTATAAGAAGCAGTAAATAATCTGTAAATATCAATTAATAAAATTAATAACTTGACCAAAAAATGTTAATTTCACCAACAATCAAAATAGCCTATGAACATGCTAAAACAGCAAAACATCTTAGACTAATCTTAGATGTGAAGGTTCGCTCTAACGCTCATATCAAAAAGAAATGAGAAGAACTCGAGATGCACATTACCAACACAGAATGAATTACTTATATATAAACAGATCCTGAACGCGAACGTGGACTTGCGGGATTCAGCTATGGGTATGTGCTAGCGAAAAGGACACCCAAATGATGCAGAGATTCCAGAGTAAAGTGCTAAGAAACATCGTTGATGCAACCTGCAACTTTTGGGGCCTGAACATGGCCACTGTCTGATAGCTCTTCGACAACACCAATTAGAAGAAAAGCAGAGCAGACAGCGCAATTTTACAAATTACTGTTAGTGTTTATTCGTAGTACAACCTAAGGAACTTCAAGTGAGTAATAAATAAGAGTACCACAAAATTGTGTAATGAAGGATTAACCAACCCGATAATAATCACGTTTTAATCCGGATTGAAGTGCAGATATGGACGTAGCCTAATTTTCTATTTTATCTTGCTTCAAGAGCTCGTGATGGTGCGCGACGCAACGCTTCAGTCGTCGCTCAACGAGTCCGTCCCTGTAATTTGTCCCTGACGTAACCGCACGTATCCTATCGCCCAATATGGCGAACTGAGCGGTTCCAACGGTGGCCAATATTATAAATAGTATGTCGATGGTGGAATTCATCCACGCTCCTATCGCTATGCTCGTTATTTCCACCAAGTAAACGACCACGTAGTAATTGTCGGGATCGAAGGGGAACAGTCCCGGTAACGGGTAGATTTTCTTGTTTTCGTTTCCTCTGGCGTCGATCATAGGAAATATGCCGTAAAGTAATACGCAGCCCATGCAAAGCGTCCGATAAACTTTCGCTACGATTCGGTTTTTCGTTGCGTATCTTTCCATGACGTTTATCTCTATCGCGCTGGCCGCGGCGAACGTAGCTTCGCGCAGTGCCCGTTCAATAAGTGCCATATTTCCCTTCTTTAGTATAAAATTGAACAGTTTACTCAGGAAAGCGATTTGCGTCATCGAAAATAAAAATGTTTCCGAAATTTTGGTCAGGTTTTGGTTTGGCCGCATGACGAAAGCCAACATGAACTCTAGTTCAAAGGTCGATATCAATATTATAAACCATCCGAAGATTTTGGACAGCCAATTGGTTGGCTCGGGGTAAAAGCTCGCCGTTTTTAAGAAGGTTTTTTCGGTTTTGAAGGCGCCGCAAATATTGTAATCCTGCAAACAAGAATATAGAATAAATTCGGGTATATTGTACGACATAACATATTTTGTTTAATAACTTACTAATTATCACAGATCTACAAAATTAAACTTTTTAACAGATGTTTTCATTTTGAAAACTGATTTTATATAATAAGTAAGATTTTTTTGCAACTATTAAGGGGAAAAACGATATTTTTTAAATAATTTATTTTTTATTCATTAAAAAAGTGGAATCCTAATTAAAAAAAAGTTACTTTTTTGAGTGAAATCTTCAGGTTTTTGACAGAAAGCTTGCATTGTCCGGACATTTGCCTGTATGTTTTTAAGGCTATATCCCGTTTAAACATCCAGCACTAGTCCGCCATCATCGTTATGCTCCAGCGATCTTGGTATCGGCCTTCCATTTCCTTAATTTCCGGGTGAAATCTTTCTCCCTGTTCTTTGCTCTGACTGCTCCGAGATTTTCAGGAAAATAGTTCAAGTGTGAAAGAAGGAATGCACTTTCAAACTCATATTACAACCTAGACAATGAAAGTGCTGTAACATATTTTCGAAAGTGCTGTTTGTTTTTCGTCCATAGAGAAACTTATCAATTACTTCTTTAAATGAAACCCAGGCGTTTTTCTTGACATTGTTCATTTTGTTTTGAAAATTCTTGTCTTTGCATCATCTTCTTATCTGCGTCCCAACAAAAATAACTTCTCTTGTCTTGGCATTGGATATGGCTGGAAATTTCTCTGAAACACTGTCCATCTTGATGTGGGCTTTAAGAAACTGCTTCATCAAGCCAAGTTTGATATGAAGAGGAGGCCGTAAAACTTTTTTTGGGTCAACTAACTCTTAGTATATTTTTGCTACCAGGTGTAAAGGCTTGTTCTAAAAGGCCATTCTGTTTGAGTCCAATGTCTATCTCAATACATTCTTTCCATATTTATACGTTCTAGAACACTAGAGATATGCAACAACGAAGACAACGGCTGCGAACACAGTAGCACGACGACCAATACAACCAAACTGCTCATAAGAAGGTTATTACGCTGTATTCACGCTTCTGCGTCAACTCGCTTGCTTGCAGAGAAATCTAATATTATCCAGTGTTGCCAAATAACATTTAATTTTATAAAAGTCAATTCATTTAAAAATCATGCCTTACATATAGTATAGAGAGCGCTATAAAAAAGATGATGTGACAGAGCAAAAATATGGCGTATTTTGGAAATGGACCTCCAACAGCTTTCAAACATCAAAGTCACTGAGACCTATGTTATTTGTTCAAATTTAATAAAGAGTCGAACTGCGATCTTTTAACATATTTCTTTCAAAATACACAATGAAAAATGTAAGCAAATGCAAGGGGCTCAGAATAATAAGCTTTTATATAAAACCTTGCAAACGGTATAATTTACCCACCTGATTCGTTAAATTGTAAAACCTTGGCTCATATGTTGTGCCTCCCATATAAAAAGCACTACATTTTTGGTGCAAGGGGTGGGTAAAACAAAATAAAATCGATGAAACTATTTTGTGATTTTTTTTTTATTTTCACAAAATATAATTATTGGTAACATTACCACAGTTAAACAGATCAGACAAAACAATTAAATTAAAACACAGAAATTTCTTCATGCATCCAATGATGGTATTTTGTGCATTCAATCGTATCTTCTATAATAGATAACAGTTGCTTCGATTGCAGCGGCATTCACTTCAGAGACTTCAGATATTTTTAATTTTTTAGACGAGCCTGAGAATATTGTTCTCTTCACTGCAGATTTTGCTTTATTATCGCTGATCGTTCTTCTTTTCTCTGAACCTGCCTTATATGGCGTGGTTGTGAGCCCTGTTGCTTGTTGGGCTCCCATCTTTTATTTCCCAATCCACTAGGCCCTAGCAAATGATTTCTTCAAAGGAAGTAATTATAAGAGGTTCCGTGATATTAATCTAGCAAAGGAAATATCCTCATCGGAGGAATCATCTTCACCCTGATCAATGTGGATGTTATTCCTATTTACTTCTGGTGGTAACTTTGATTCAATACTGAGCATCACTTCCAGCGAAATCAGCATAAGTAAAAGAGTTCTATTAAGAGGCCATATGCCACATTTAGAAAAACCATTCACTGCAAACCCAAACCGCCTAGAAGATATTGGGTCACCGCTAATCCCTGATGTCGCCGCATCCATCTTTCAACTGCTTGATTGTAATACACCTCCATTGTATGTATTGTATTGGAGGCGATGTGTGGTATTTCCTAGCAATTGTAGAGGAATGAACTAAGAGGACTAAAATTAATTTATGTTCCTACTTCAATAAATTTGCTAAACCAAACCACGAATAATTCAGTGTTTATGTATCTTGTGTCTGACACCTGTACTGCGAAACCTGGTGGAGCACCTTCTACAAGTTCGGCCATCATTCTCTTCCTTTTGAAATCATCATAGATGCTACAAATTGTCCTGCCGCACTAGTGCAAACGCATACTCCCGTTTTCCGCTAGCAACTGTACCAACGTTTTTTTTCCTTTTTCTTCTGAACCTTACAATACCCGGACCCTGTTTCGTTTTGATCAACTAAGCATCTAGCCAGTGATATCGATTCTGGCAGGTTAAAAGAAAGTATCGGATGCCTTTTCATATTGCTACAAAAACCATGCTTTACCAGCCAACTCTTTTGCTCTATTAAAATTATGGGGTATGGTACTTTGTTCTGCAAACTGGAACTCTGCTAAAATGATTCTTCCATTTTCAGAATTTGATCTCCTAGTCCCTGCTCGATACGGTTAGCCGTCCTAATGATTTTGCGCCTCCCTTTGCCTTTGCTTTTGTACACAGCAGGTATTTCTTAAAAGGTTAATTTTGGAATATTGTCTGCAAATATTCAATTCCAAATTTCCCAGTTTTATATTTACATAAGTTCGGTACAAGTGGTGGTACAAATTACCAAATCGGTATGATCAACGAAATCATCTTTTTTTTTTAATAAAAAGTGAGGTTTGGATAAATTTAACTCACCCGATATCTAGCAAAATTTCCTCTAACCTACGAAAATGTTTTTCAAACAACTAGTAAACTTCCAGTAGGACACACACTATTAAGAACTTATTACGTAATCACGTTTTGTGGAAATACCTGAATTTAACCTTAAAGCGTTCACCGGCGTGTGCGGTTGTTGGTTGCCTAATGGTTTGATGCCTTGATACCCACATTTTTTTTTCATAAACTTAGATTTATTGCCTCTAATCATACATTAATCCTTTGCACTTGCCAGTAATTAAAAAATAAACAAAAAGAATAATACACGTTGGCCTAATAAAAATGTAAAAAAAAAAAACATCTCACACGAAAGGCTTGAGTGAGATGACGTACGTCTTTAAATAGCGTCGGGTTAGATGACTCTCAAATAAAATATTAAGTAATAAAAAGTAACAGGACTATACTAAACTACAACATTAAAAAACGTTTAAATTCTATTATTATTGGAGCTCCTTTTTTCCGCAAGTACATTTTTAAGAAGGTAGTGCATCTCGTGTGCGACCTACCTCAAACATTCTATGTATTTCATTCAATCCTCTTTGTTTTTTGTGTTTTTATAATTATCTCGTCACCCCCACACATTCATTCTCATAGTCATCATTTCAGACTCAAGTAAAAGTTCTGTTTCGAATAAAATCTAATGACGAATAATCAACTGTTTGATTCTGCTTAATACATGGCTTTGGTTTTTTTGTATATTTCTTATTGTGCTTCTCTTTTTTACTACGTTCCTTTGCTGCGTTTTTTTCTGTCCGCTCTCTTTTTCTTTATTTTGAATATCTGACGTTGTTGGGAAACCGGCATCACCTGGCTAATTGTCTGTAGTTTCTCCAGGATTTGTTTTTGGGAAATTATGAGATTATGGCCTATAGGTTTCCGTGGATCGGAAAAATTGGATCGTGTGACTCAACAGACGTAATAATAGTATAGTATTCTCTACCGAACTTATATGGCTTTCAAGGAATGAATTGTAAAATTGAGGTGTTTACGTATGCTGATTTTTCCGACATTGTAACTCTGGAACCTCATATTTACTTTTTTTGTTTGAAGATACATAGCCGTGGGATTTAAGTCCCCTCAGCAATTTTTTCTCCTTTTTTTAGACCCTTTTTCAGCAATTATGTACTGCTTTCATATTAAACAAATTACTAGGCCCTTAGAGAAACTCCTTCGCAGTTTCTTATGGGCATTTTCGCAGGCGGTAAATTATTGGTTAGGTTAGGAACTTGCTTTGGTTGTTTTTAAACACATTATAAATAAAAATTACGTGATCTAATTAAAAACCTACGGTAATACAGGGCTTATACAAAATTCTAGAGTACTTGATATGTATTATGTGTTAAATACTTTCTTACCTTTTATATGGAAAATGGTCACTACACAAGAGACATAGGGCGGCTGCATAGCAAACTCCGCGATCTTAAACACCGCGTCATCTAACCCGAACTTTCCTTATAATATATTTTGTTTCGAATAAACTTTTAATATTTCTGTTATTAAAAAAATATAACAAATAAATAATTCAGATCCAAAAAAAAATCTGGGTACAAAAATAGAGCCTTTCAAAAAACAAAGCAATACAACATCAACATAACATTAAAGTACACCTAAACATTTAAATACTTATGTACTTTGTATACTTAGTTTTACGACTTTTATATTTAATTACTGCATCTTGTGGGCATTGAGATTTTATAACAAAAAAATTTTCTTTTAATAAATCTGTTTTAATTTTTTCCCCAGAGTTCTTGCTTATTTTGTGTTTTATGCTTGCCAACTGTATTATACACTGTTGATACCTCTATATTAAGGGCATGTGACCTCTGCAAATGGTAACATGCTGTCCCGAAGAATATAAACATACTCATTTTGGTCCATAACGTTCTTTATCCAGTAAATTGACCTATGCCATACCAAGAATTTCAGAATACCAGTTTTGATGGTGATCTTCAGTCAACTTTAAACAATCTTGTTTGCTTGTTTGCTTGCTTGTCTGCTTGGAATCGTCCTTGAACCTATTTCTAGCCCCAGTTCAGTTTTAATGGCGGTAGATGACTTAAATGGGTGTCTGTATTCATAAGAGGTTTTTTTTTTCTTGCTCCACGGTTTTCACATACCATCTTTTTATAACGACCAATAATATTTGAAATATTGCGCAATGAGTGTCCTCCTTATTAAAAATTTTTTAAAAGAATTATTGCACAAAGGCATTTTGAGATATACCTAAATGTTATTGTTTTCAAGGCTAACTGCTATTTTTCAACTTAAATATTTATTTCAAATTTTTGTTTCTGTGTTAATCTTAATTTATTTTTACCAAAAATTAGCACTGATATTGATATGATCAAAAGTTTAAATTGGCTCTATTTCTATGACCATGATTATGTATACAATGTTGTAAAAAACTATGGTGAGCATATCTGATCCTACAATTTTTGCATAGATACTATGTTTTTAAAAACATATATATTATTTTCGTTCAAATTGAAATTTTTAAATTTTAAAAAGTGAAAATAAGCATTGAAACTTCCAGGCATCGAGTTTCTGCAGGAATTTGCTATCACTCTGAATCAATCGTAATAAGGAATTCCTGGTGATTTTTAATATTTGAATGTGTTGAATTGTGTTCAGATCTGTCGATTGGTTTGTTACGTTTTTGTCTTTAAACTATTCTTTCACTAATTGTTCGCTGAAATCGTTATCGCATTGCATTTCAATATCTCTTTGCATTGAATGCTGTCCACTTTACCTTGTAATTGCCTAAAATCTTGCACCGACTGCTTCAAAGAACCAGAACCGTGTTTAACTTTTCTCTTGACCAGGGCAACTGAGCTCTAGTAAACACCATTCGGGCCTTTCTATTTGTCTTTGTGAGACAACACCTCTTCCATGGGGATTAATCGGATTCTTCTCTACTGGTTACTTTAGTGTTAAGCTGTTTCGAGATTTCGTTTTTAATTTGTCTGGATGATAGTTTTATCAATCATGGAACTAGTTCTACGAGGTTTTTTCCCCACCCTATGGACCTTGATCTAGACTTATTGGATAAGCGTTATGCTGGTTTGAAAGAACTGAGAAGGTCCATCTTTTATAACTAGAGTAGCACTGCTTCAATTTCGTTTGGGTAGCCCAGAATTGTGCAAAATGCCCGCGTCTTTTAGATATTGTTTATCTCAATATCTATATATGAGGGGGAGGAGGTAAACGTGACGAAGCCCTCAATAATCAATACCAAAGCTTTCAGAAGAAAATATGCGCTAACGCTGCGAAAGAAGAAACTATGCTCATAAACTTAGGTCGGAAAATACTTAGTTTCCAAGATACGGCTGTGCATTGAATATTCAAAGAAACTACCAATTGTGCAAAAATCCTCTTGTCCTAGATTACTCCATTTTTATATTAATTTTTACAACTACAAATAAATAAATGATCATAAAAATTAATAATAAATAAATAAAAAACGTAGAAAAAGTTTTTTTTTTAATATGTAATCTGTATCTTGGAGGCTAAGCAATTGCTGATTGGTAAGAACAATTCTTCTTTCTTTGGAAGACGAATCCTCAGCGTTGGCGCATGTTTTTTTGTATAATTTGCCACACGTCAAGTCGATCACTACCTACGTCTTTCCCCGTACCGCTGTTGCTGCTGTCGAGAAGTAAAATCTGTATACTGAATATTCATTATATATTCGTTGTTGCTTGTTGCCAAATATCGAAATAAACTGCTGAAGGCAATAAATCACCAGACCAATATTGTAGGACAGAGCGTCAGGGACGGACCCTTAAAGTGTTTAATAATAATATATAATAATAAAATCACATTAATACTAATAGATAATAGGATAGCACTAAATTTATACAAAATATCAACAATTACGTTTTTATTCCAAATTTATTTCTCTCAGAGTTGTCATTAATGTTTCTTTGTATGCAAACGTAAGAATCTTAAATTTTTAAAATGTGCTGTACTGCCATCTCCGACAGATATATTATTATTATTAATTACAACTTATTTTTTGTCTATTTATGTTTTGACAAAGGGACTATATGTCCCTTCTTTTACTGTTAACATTATTGACGTCTCTGTAAGTAGGTAGATTTCTTTTAAAACTTGCTTACTTAATAATTTCTTTTGTATCTAATGAGGCACACTACACACGGTGTTTTTTTTCTTGATCTATCGGTTAGGGGTGTTGCTTGGAACAAATTAAATTTAATGGACTGATTTCATGAGAAACTGTTGTGCAATTATACTTGCAACATAATTATAGTGCTTTTACAACCGATCGCGTCATTATCTGTTCCTACTGTTTATTACTCCAAAACCGCAGCCACATATAGATCACACTGCCCAGCAGACCCTTACCCGTAACCATTCCAGGACCGTCCTAGGAATTTATCTACCTACACTAACACTCGGGATATAGGTATGTTTTCAATCTTTTTCGCCGAGCAGTCCTTGAAACATGTCATTAGGTTCGACTTCCATCTTCACTGCGTCTTAAAATTCTGCGTGGTTTTCCATTTCTTGTTCTAACAGTGGAACATCTGCTTCATTGCACGGTCCACATTTTAAAATGTTAAAAAACACATTCAAAAAATGTTTAATTATAAGATTCTAATAAATATTTATCAGTAGAAGACACAAAAATACAAGAAGAAGAATGTTCTTAATCGATAAAAATGATTATTTTCAAACTTATCTGTAAGATAAATATAGTACGGCCTCTTAATATATACTAACATATTGCAATTTAGATTAAACTCTTAAGAACGATACATATCACCTGATTTTAAAATAAACGCTTCTACTTATTCGAAGATAGCCCGCAGCATCAATGCTTAATCAAATTTAAAACGGTCCATTTACATTTCAAATAAAAATTTCAAACTTTTACAAATATTCGTTACGGTCCATCTCAGGGAAGACCTACTTAATGCAGAATAAACATCTATTGGGATGGGTTTTACCACGGTCCTGCGAAGGTCTGCGGTTAAGGTACTGTAAAATACTCATAACGTCAAAGCAATAAATGCACTATATTTGGTCGTACAATACAACATAATTTTAAGTTTCCTTGCGAAAGTTTTCCTCCGGATGTTTTCATATTATGCTACTGCGTCTTCTAACAGATACCAGGTTAAGTAAGAGTCGAGTCAATATGGGTTGCTAAGATATTTATTTTTTATTGAGAAAAGTGTCAAGCGATCTTCTATACATTTGAAATATTCCATTTTGTCTACGCCTCGTAACGGCATTGTTTGTATAGTGATTGTATTGACAATACAGTTACGGAGAGTGAGGCAACTTATTTTTTTAATCATTTTCGATATCTTGTAGCTACTTTGTCGCTGTTTCTGTTCTAACTGCTCGAACTAATGGAGATGAAATGCAGAATATTTTTGTAAAGTTTTATTACAAAATAATCCAAGAATTTTCGGAAACTACCAATGAAAAATCACAGGAAGGGATTTTGAAATTAATTTAGCAGAAAATTTCGCAAAAATTCAAACATTTTATTCATACTTCGTTATATATTGATATTTTAAATTTTCAGTAATTCCTGAAAAACATACAAATTCCTCAGAGTTATTTTATCTTTATTAATTGTTGAGAAACAAAAATAAAACATTTATAAAGGTACTCAGGGTGGTAAGTGATAATTCTGGCTGACGGCAGCCAGACATTGTAAATGCCACATATACATATACTTTGTAAGTGAAAGGCACATGAACTTATCCTATGTCTCTTTTTGTCGAGATACTCCTCCTACCAGAGTACGAAAGTTTCTAATGCTCCGTGATGATAATAGTTTTGGTAAAATGTGCATTTAAAAATGAGATTTTGTAAATTAGAAAAATATGTAAAGCAAGTAAGTAAAAAAGGTATACCTGTAGCATCATCACGTTGCTGCCTTGTAAAAGCCACTCAGCAAACCTCGTCGGGATTTGAAATTTATATGTTCCTGATAACTCAATTATTAATCGAGTGCTCAAAACTTGCGGACAGAGTAATTATTTGCTCGTTTTAAAAACCGGGGAAGTAACTCGAAATTACCACTTCCAATTATTAAAGTTTCCGGCTCTAATTGGTGTTCGGAGTATATAATTTCAATAAATTGGCGAGTGACCGCGAATGAAGGGTTTGTACACATGGGAAGGCGTCTCACTAAGTGCAAGTTGAATTTACCAAATTTATTTGGTTATTATCGTACAGACAAGAAGAAGATGATGCGCTGGACATTTCTTAACTTTTAATCCTTGGAGTAGAGCCTCTGGAGAACGGCGAAATATGAGTAAGATGTTCTGAGAATCTGAAAAACGAATTTGAAAAATGTCTCGAAATAAGTGCATCGTGATTCATAGTTTAAACTGTCGGATACTCGAGAAAAGTAAGCATAAACTGTAGACGTTTCTTGTTGTTTATAAATAAAAAAAGGAACAAAAGGGATATTTAATAATAACACACTAACCGAAACTAACCAGAGAATCCTTTAAAAAAAAATTCTTGCATTTTTAAAGTAAAAGAAAAACGGATTCTCACGATTTTTAATATACAGTGTGTCCAATATAAGGATGGGATAGCCCGCAAAATGATCCCAAAGTACAAAATCGTTTTTGAGAAATCCTCCAAAATATCAAAAAACTTGGATTTTTATTTTTGTTTCTATAATTCAAAATACGCTTAACAATGTCTTGGGTTTAGTACATTATTAGAACACCTTTTATTATATGATGCTCAGAGGAAAAAAAAGGTTTTTCTTCATTTTTTTCGAAATACACGATGGATAAAATATTTTCATTATTTGAGAGAGCATAAAAATGGTTTTAAATCGTGTATCAGATTCATTTATCATCACTAATAAGGTCACAAAATTATTTTTTTTGTGGTACGCAATGTCGGCTATTTGCAAACGTTTGGAAAGACAACAGTTTTGCCCGTCCGATTGTTGCTATAAACTTGGAAAAAGTAAATATTACAGAGGCTGATTAGGTACATGGCCTTTTAATATATTTCAAAATAGAAAGAAAAAGTTCTTTTTCCAATAAGTTCGACTTTTTAATTTGTTGGATTATGTGCCTTAGCTAGAAACTGGGCAGATGTATTTTTGGAAGACTAGTTGCCATTTTATTGGAGTATGGCTCATTTCAAAAACTAGATACTAAAAAATAAACCATGGAATAAGGAAACTGATAATGTTCTACAGATGCTGTTGACTGTTGTTGACTGTCAAAATTTATGTTTTTCGGAATGGCATCCTATGCCAAAAAATCGAATTTTACTTTTGTGATGCTAAGAAAGCTGATAAATGCATCATGTGGTACATTACTTAAAAGCCCATATACAAATATGTAAATATCGTGGAAAGGGTTGTATACGAGCAGACACAGCTTCACTTAGGTAATAACCAGATTATCCTCGTTACTCAATCTGAATATAAAGCTGCACTATAGTTCTACTACATATAACCGATGATATATTTAGGGCCACACATGAAGGCAAGCTGACACTACTATCCCAAAAACTTTTGATACTCTGAACACCAAATTTTTATTTGAATATTAAATTTTATTGGTTTTTCTGAAAACCCAATTAATCTTTTAGCTTCATACCTACAGCATCGAACTCGAGTACTAACATGTAATGGTGTAACTTTCTTGATTCATAAACCTTAATGAAGGTATACCTACTGCCCTTGATAAAGCAGAATTAGTCGCACCCTTCAAAGAATTAATTGACTAAATGTGAAAAACAGAATATTTCTTCATTCTGCATGCTGTATACAAACATACGAAGTAAAAAATCTCTTAACGTACATAACCTTAATATAGGAATTGCATATAATATTGTTTCAAGTTTAAACCATTTATCAAATAAAAAATTTAAGTTACCTCAAACGTTTTAAGACTAAACTTTTGCAAATACCACTGGATGAATAAATTAACGAAATTTCTAGGTATCTGTGTACTAAATGAAATGTAATATTATTACCTTATATTTGATTCTCACTGGAATACTCTATTATTTTTTTGTGCGATATAAGTTTCAACACTAAGAATGGAAATTATCTCGCCATTTGTTGTTATATGGTTATAATCCAAATTATTATGGTTTATCTTGAAAACCAATGAAAAAATTCTTTTATTTCATTGTTTTCTTGTTATAAAAGTGTTCTAATAATTTACTAATCCGAAGATCATGTTTACAATATTTTGGGCTTTACAAACACAAAAAGGTCGATTTTCTAGACCTTTTTGTATTTTTTCGAATTTCTCATAAACGATTTACATCGTAATTCTTTCTAAAATTTAAAGTTCTTTGAATCTTTCCTAATTTAACCTACTCTGTATCTCCTATGGTTTCTGATTTCTCCATCCTATCCTATCCTTGTGTTGGACCCACTGCATTTTCCAGTTTATAAGTTTTTCTTTTCAGAACTTTGACATTTTGTTTACTCGAATCGAGTACCAGCAGTTTATGTTATATTTGGAAAAGTTTGTGCTACTTTATTTCTTGATAGGTAAGTATGATCTACCATATATTAATAAAGAATCGTAAAATATGGTTCCTAAAAATGATGATACTATCCAAATTTCGTTAAATCGCTGTCTGTGTATTCTATGTTAAGAAGAAACCAATGTAAAAACAATTTAAAAATAAATGTTGCGTAAACTGTCCATGTTTTAATTGTTGTTCGCAAAGTTTTGCCCTTACCGTCATCAGCGTTGCTAAATTGAGTGGGAAAACTCCCGCCGCATGTACGGTCGAAGGTCTCTTAGCCCTCTCCATGATTATAATCAGCATTTTTTGTGATTTTATGTCGATTTCGTTCCAATTGACATGATAACAGGCGTTTGTAATCTCGTCGCTCTGTAAAATTAGAAGCCTTGTTGTCGAATGATATTCTATTTGTATTTTATTCATTTTTGCGGTCGTTATGACTAATATAAAGGCAAGAATTAATGAGTTTCAGTTTTTTTTGTACACATGCATTTTTAAACATTTGTAAGATGATATCGTTTGTTGTCAACATAAAAATTATCTTAAATACCAAGTAATTTTGCAGATTTACTTCAATGTACTTATTTGTTATGATAGTCATTCAATATTTTTAATGTTTGCTTACTGGTAAGAGCTTAATGCTTCTCATCAGGGTGGTTCTTATTTATACACATGTATATTGAAACTTATTGCTGTGATATATTATCGTTAGTTGAAGTCTTCTGACATATTTTATTGCACAAAAGAGTGTCAATTGTGCTGGTACCTTAAAATCCCCTTTAAACTGGTGTCTTTTTGATTATCGACGATGTTTGTAGTTGAAACAAAAAGATTTACCTTCAATTGACAGAAATTAAAATAGCTAATTGGTTATCGTGATATTTATCGGTCAGATTGGCACTCTTTCAATGAAATTGTTTGTTGAATATTGTTGAATAGTTTTAAGTTATTGTTATAGTTAAGAGTTATTTTGTATATTTTGCCGTTTGCAATAAAATGGTTGTTGATAACAAATTTGTTTGATTGCGAAATAAAGAGGCGAAAAGTTTACTAACCTTCTGCATTACCAATTGTCCATACCAGCAGTACATGCCCACTTGACAGGTCATACAAATAAAATAGAAAACCAGTAAGATAAATTGGGCGCTGGTAAAATTGATCTAAAAATTATGAGAAAATATTCAAAGTTCTTGAAAGTATGCTAATTAAAAGTAAGGATAGTTTGAGTCTAAAATTTTTTTGAAACGTAATTTTAAGTTTCGTTGAACCTCCATACCACCATCATTTGAAATCCGGTCAGGCATATTACGATGGCGCTACACAGGAACTGAATGAAAATCCCGTAGGAGAAGGTTGCTTCGATCAAGCCAACAAACCTAAAAAGAAACAAATCTAAGGTCAATTTCAGAAAGGTGTAGGTAAATTATGCCTCAAAGGGAATACATAGTGCCATTGTTTGGTTGAGTCATTAAAGTCATTTAAATTAGAGCCATAAAGTAGCCTTTTCTTCTTCGAAAGGCGCCATCGTAACAATAAGTAATTTATTAATAAAGTTTTGACAAGACAATAAATTAAAACATACTGGGTGTTATATTAACAATGCAAATTATGACATATTTTGGATTTGGATTTGCGACTCATTTTTATCTTTCTAATTTTTCAAGGAAACTTCCACAGGCTACCGTAATACTATTTACAAATCTTCTGGATTCCTCGTCCACATATTAAAACACTAAAATCGCTCATCTTCGATCACCCAAAAACAAAAATTCCGCTTTTATACGCAAGAGTTTACAGCGTTCCATGTATATGCTGCAAAGAATGCATTGGAAAACTATCAACTAGGCTAAAAAATATGAAACAGCCTTAAGCCTACGACAAATAAACTGATCAGCAGTTGCCAGGCAGAATCATCAAATCGTACATATTCGCCAAAATTATAATTCTTGCATGTATTCAATTCTGCTGCCACAGAAAATACTAGAATCCATAGAAATCTCTAAACAATCAAACAATCTTACCTTTCACCTTTAGATCCGCGCCCGAAAACCTTTTCTTTTGCTTAAATCAAGCAGATTTTTAATTTTTTTAAATAATTGTGTTTGTAGTCCCTTTGCATACCTGATGAAATTTAGTCTACAGCTTTGTGAAATTGCGTTCATTTATGTATATATATATATATATATATATATATATATATATATATATATATATATATATATATATATATATATATATATATATATATATATATATATATATATATATATATATATGATGACACTATACTCCGGGATATCATCCGTTCGCTCGTTGAACTCCGACTGGAATCCTGCAAATCCTGCATCCGACTGGAATCCTGCAGACGTTTCGCCAAAATCTCACTTGGCATCTTCAATGCTCGCGCTCCGAAAACACTTCGAACACAGTGTTCCTTGAACATTGAGCATTGAAGATGCCAAGTGAGATTTTGGCGAAACGTCTGCAGGATTCCAGTCGGATGCAGGATTTGCAGGATTCCAGTCGGAGTTCAACGAGCGAACGGATGATATCCCGGAGTATAGTGTCATCATGTATATATATATATATATATATATATATATATATATATATATATATATATATATATATATATATATATATATATATATATATATATATATATGATGACACTATATTCCGGGATATCATCCGTTCGCTCGTTGAACTCCGACTGGAATCTTGCATCCGACTGGAATCCTGGAGACGTTTCGCCAAAATCTCACTTGGCATCTTCAATGCTCGCGCTCCGAAAACACTTCGAACACACGGAGCGCGAGCATTGAAGATGCCAAGTGAGATTTTGGCGAAACGTCTCCAGGATTCCAGTCGGATGCAAGATTCCAGTCGGAGTTCAACGAGCGAACGGATGATATCCCGGAATATAGTGTCATCACATTTTTCCATCCGTGAATCAATACGTGAGAATATATATATATATATATATATATATATATATATATATATATATATATATATATATATATCTGTTTATTCCTAAATGTTGTTCGTTGATTGTGTTTCTGTGTTTTGTACCATTTTATTTTAAATTTTATTTATTAAAATATAAACTATAAAATTGTAGATTTAATAATTGTCTTATAATCTAGCAGTAAACGTGGTACTCCAAAAAATTGATGATTGATAAGCCTTAATATAATTTTTCTGGAAATTTTTAATGCATTCAAAGCTTAGAATTGTGATGATATGACAGCAAGTGTGGATGTTAAATAGTGCTATGAATTTATTTTAATACGTGTTTTTACAGTTTTTGGTAAATATGTTCCGAAAGAAAAACGTGCAAAACAAACTTTTCCTGAGTGGTTTACACAAAAAATAATTTATGATATAAAATCTATTGTTAGAAATTTAAAATTGTCCAAAAGAAATTGCTCACATCAGTGTCTGACTGATCTGATCATTTTAATAGCTAGATTAAGCGCCCGCACAAAAAAAAAATTAACAAATACAATGCGCTATGTCAGTTAATTCCGATTTATTTCTTATTACGTCAGGGGTTTCACAATGGTCAATATTAGGTCCACTTTCGTTTCGATTATTTATAAATAACATCAAACAAAGCACTGAATAGTCAAATATCTTGCTGTATGCGGATGACTTGAAAATAAACAGAAAAATAGAGACTGAAAATGATCGCAGGATGTTGCAAAAAGATGTTAATAATCTCAAAAATGTCAAAAGTCTCAATGTCAAAAAATGTAACAGTAATGTAAAGAGACCACTTTTTAAAAAAATATTAATTGAATAAAATTACTTTTAAATCAGTTACTACAAATGATGACCATGACGTTAAATTTGATACGGAATTAACGTAAGACAGGCATCTATAAATATTCGATTCTTAATTGTAATTGCATAAAAAACCCTAACCCTGTATTATAGCCTCGTACAGTCGAAGCTTGATTGTGGTAGCATAAATTTACCAATGATATCCTGAAAATATAACCTGATACTTATGTCACCACCATAGAACGTGCGGAAGTGTTAACACTGCACAACAGAAGAATCATGACTAAGTTGCTGCTTCTTAAAATCATGACTAATTTAGCTTTCGCTATACTTAATTCGCACACCTAGTTAAAATCCCCAATCTTGCCAATGATTACATCGTATAATCAACCATCAACATCTTATGATGAAATTATTAAAGAAATTAAAATCCAAAATGACTGCCCGAGTGGACAGTATCCCCAGTTTCATTGGATTGCATTGCATTTATTGATGCTTAAAAAAGTAAAATTTCTCCAGAGATGTGGAAAAAACTTAAATCTGTCCGTTTCTGAAGGTAGGCGACGTCTCTTCTATTAAAAACGACAGACTTGTTGCGATCTAGTGCAACTTCGGGAAACTTTATTAAAAATTATTCTTTATAACTTATGTCAGTAATGTCGTACTCGTGCTAATCGTGTCTGTATTACGGTATATCTCAGAAGATTTGTGTCGATGTGGCATACACTGATGACGAGAAAGGAGTTGATCAAATTGTTCACCAAATATAACTGCACAAGTTGCAGAATATTTTACTTTCGTGTTTAGTCATCTTATTAGAATTGTATCTCGACAGCAGGCTGCTCTTTGTGGAATATAGAGACTGTAAGTCTAAAAATTTTGTTGCTGCGTCGGGAGTTCCTCAAGGGTCGAATTTGGGTTCCTTTCTTTTGATTTGCATTGATTTATCTATTGCGGTATACTTCCCACATTTTTTATTTGCGGAATGATTGCAACGGATTACAAAACGCCTTGCTCATGGTGTTCTCTGAACTCTCTGAAACTTAATGTTGCCAAATGCCAAGTCTTTTTATCTAAATAATAGTCCCAAGTTGTTCGACTATTCGCTCAACTGGGCTACTGTGTTAGAGACTAACGAGGTCTGTCCAACATCTCTACTTTTAAACTTTCTTGCACAAGTTCATAAGGGGTAAACTGGAATATTCATCTACAATGTGGTCACCTATCTGCAAAATTCAAACTTCTGGTTTAGAGAGTGAGAATGCTTAAAATATTTTCACTTTCACTACTTCAACCTTTGTGTCTCCAATTGTTTGACGGGGAATCTCTTAAGATTCGACGGACTTATTTATCTGTGGCAACTCGTCAATAATTCCGTCCCTTCTGTAATTTTAAGGGTAGGACCATGAGGGTCACATCACTAATTTATGAAATGTATCAAAACTTTAACAGTTATTGCTAACTTTGTGTGATATTCATGTTGACTCACTGCACCCTGTTGTTGCTAAATGTTAAGAGAGTCTAGGGGAGGTATGTATGTTGAGGGGCCAAAATATAATGGAAAATTATGTTCGTAGTGTTCTTAATTTTTAACAACAGATATCAGACATGAAATAATTTGATATTTTTATTATAATTAGAATAACAAAATGAAATAAAAAATATATGTAAATTATAATTAAGTCGTGTAATTTAAAATTATTACAAACCTAGAAAATTTAAATAGCGACACCGAAATCAATGAGAAACTTGAACTTAAATTTGAAAACATTGATGGATGATACGACGACGTAAAGAATTTTCGAAATTATGATGTTTTGATTGATCATTGAAAGAACTGTTCTCATTTATAAGCGCTAAAAAACGCACAAGTCAATCCTCTTGCCCATTTTCTAAGGTGCATAAAATGGGTCCTCTTCGAGGTATTTTTTGTGGAAATCCCAACGTATTGGAACGAACATTTATACGTTACTTTTTGTTGCAGAAGCAAATAAATTGAAACAGTCTTCCATGTTTTTGAAATGACTACATCTCTTCGAAAATTATTCCCACAGTGGTGAAATGGTAACTATTACCAGATCAATTTTAGGCAACTCAATTCAGAGAGTGGTTTATCTTTTAATCCGCTATCTCATCTCTAAGCTCGTAAAACCGTAATTTTCCCTTTGTTCGGCGATGTGACTTCATAATAATTTTTTAGGTCGTTATATTCGGCTGATATTTCATCCAAAAACGCCTTGAACTGAGGATAGTTAAACTCTCGACATCTAATAAAATTGATGGTTTTTATTACCACATTTATAACATTCTCGAGTCGAATCTACTTAGTTCTAATCTGTGAGATTTTTCGGGCTATTAGGCCGCGGTCCATTGGTTTTGCTACCAAAGCTTTCAGCTGCTACTGCGGCAGGCATCTTCAGTGGAACGTAGATTGTAGTGCGGTGACTATGTCGGTACTGTTGCTGGTTAGTTTTTTAGTTTAGTTTAGTCCAAATCGTACCTGAACGGTCGTTTGAGGGTCCGGGCCCCCCTCCGAATTGTTAGTATACAGTTTTGTTTGCGTTTTTTGCAGGACGTTATGCCATATTTTGTTTACTTGAAACCCCTCTTCACGTTTGTTGAAATTGTTTTTGTGTTTGTGTATTTCAATTGCTTCTCGATGTAGTCTTGCGCGGTAATATTTCTCTGTAGACAGAACTTCGGTGTTGTCGAATTTGATGTTGTGATCGCCATTAGTAAACACGTGTTCTGCCATCGCCGATTTTTCTATTTGTCCCAAGCGACAGGATCTTTTGTGTTCAGTGAGGAGCTTAGATATGGTGCGTTTTGTTGTTCCAATATACACGTGTCCGCATGAACATGGGATTTTTTTGTATTTTTGACGTTCTTCAATTTGGTTAGTTCAATTATTATTTTATGGTAGTACGTATTTGATTTATCCTATTGTAGTAGTATTTTGAAGCCTTGATTAACAGAAAATAATGAAGTTTTTCTGTCGAAATGCTTTTGATATTTTGCATTAGTTTGGTTAGGTTTCATTGGGTTGGATGTCTTTTCGCAATTTTATTTTTATACGGATATTTAGAATTTAATATTAATTTAACTTTCTGTGCAACTGAAACGAATTCGTTTTCATGTTCGGGAAGATAATTGGTTTCAGCTAAATAAAAATTCCCTACAATTCTAAATTAAAAGATATATTATTAGTTGAAAAAAAGAAAAAAAAATCTATGAGTGAGCGCCAAAAATGGGGAAATACCAAATATATCCGAAATTTTCCAGAAGGACATATACGTTTTGCTGAAGGAAAACAATTTAAATCTAAAGATGTTCAGTTTGTCGTAGACTTTTTAGGAAAACATCCAAAACATGCTAAACGCATAAAAGGATTTTGTGAAAGCTTAAAGAGGCCCAAAATAGTGTATTAGTAAGGAAAAAACATTATATATTTTAGTTACCGCAAAATTAACAAAATATCAATGTAATTTTATTCTAGATGTAACTGCAGAAATTGGCCGTGAATGCTTTCCGAGTTATCAGGTTCAAAAAAATAAATAAAAAAAAAATTTAATAGCCTAATAGCTAAATTTGTCAGCCATCTTAGTTGTTTATGAAGCGTCGGAGGTGACAATTTTTTAATGTTGAAATACCCACCAGCGTTTCAAAAATGACTAAAATTTTAAAAATTTTGCAAAAATATTTGAGAAAAGAGCAATTGTTGAAGACTCATTTTTGTTGAACACCCTGTCTAGTTTTTTACTGTTTTATAAAAAAATATATTTTTATAATAAAATTGAAACCTCGTTTCCAAAAAATTCAAGACGAAAAATTTAGATGACATTTAAGGCTTTTGTAAAACATAGTGCGTTTTACATATTTTGTGTATATGTAAAGTAACTTTTTTAATTTAAGGCGTTGCTTTTTGTACCATGTAGCTGTGAAAAAAAGTCATTTCTAGCTTTTCCAGATTAAAAGTTTCAAGTGAAAAACCTCATATCCCTCTGTTCCCATAAGGTCGTTCCACTGTGCGCCGTGCAAAAAAGCTTGGCGATCCCTGTACTATTTAAAGTAGAACAACTGGCCCCTGATTAATCCGGTACCCCCTATAATCCGAAATCGTCTATTACATATTCGCTAATGCACGATTGCACAAGTTACCACTTGTATTGTGCTCGATGCATAGGGTATTTTGATTCTGATTGCTTGCCTAGCGTGTGTTCATTGTTTACTATTTATTCTTGTGTATTACGTATACGTACCTAGCATTTTCTTCAGAAGCGAACGCTCAAAACACTGACAATTAAAGAGAGGTGTGATATTTTAGACCGCCTAAATCGTAATGAATCTTTCAATAGTTTACCAAATGAATACACACTCAAAAAAGCTGAATAGAAGTGGAAGAAGCGTTGTACAAGTGGTTTCTTCGGGAAAGACATAGGCATGGGCCCATTTCGGGATCCATGCTGGCCATGAAAGCTAAATATTTTTATAGGGAAATAGTAAAAATGATGATTTTGTGGCTAGCTGAGGTTGGCCAGAACGTTTTAAAAGTCGTCATGGCAAGAGAGATGCCACCTGCATAGAGATATTTAAATTGAGATTTTTGCAAAAGGTGAAAGATTTAAATCTTAACCCGTCACAGGTGTACAATGCAGACGAATCAAAAAAACTTTGATAAACATTTCCATGCTTCTTAAATTGATTTGTTTGTAAACAATTATTTCCTAATGAGAAGTTATTGCATTTTTTTTTGTAAATTCTTTAGCATTATGATATTAATTTTATAATAAAACGTAATCTTATCATATAAAAAATCATATCATTGGATTGAATTTACCGGATTACAAGGTATTCTTTTGTAAAAAAGAATCGGACTATAGGGGGTCTTAGGCAGTACTCTATAATCCGACAAATTCGATAGTTCGACACTGCTCTGTAAAATGTTTGTCGGACTACCGGAGATCCACTGTATTACCATTAAAAATACATTCAAAATAAATAAGAACTAAAACTTCAGATTTTCACGAAATTATATATATTCACCTGACAACAACATGTCTTTATCATATGTAATAATACAGAACATGAACGATTTAAAACCATTATGTACATAGGAGAACCCAGTGAAAAAGTTTCAAAACATTTGTCAAAATGTGGTTTAAAAATGGTTTTCCGAACTAACAAGACAATAGGAAAATCAGGTGTCTTCAGGTTGAAATGCGGATCATGTCCTAAAATTTATATTGGACAAACAGGTGGATCAATCAAGAAGCGCATTAACGAACATAAAAGTGCGTTTAAAAACAATAGTCTAGATTCTAATTATGCTACACATTTAAACACAGAAAAACCCTTTTTGACGACAATTTTGATATTTTACATACTGCCACAAAAAGTGGAAAATTAAATTTATTGGAAGTCATAGCTTAACGGTCAATTAGATTTAAATACCTGTCCCATTATTAAACTTAAATTCTCACAACAACTATAATTACGGTTTTATTGTCATTTTTCGGTAGCAGGTAGTTTGTAAATTTTATATTTGATAAAGACATGGTGTTGTCGAAATGATTGTCATGTGAATGTATATAATTTCGTGAAAATCTGAACTTTTAGTTCTTATTTATTTTGTTAAATGGATTTTTATCAAGTAAAAGCCATCTCAGTTCAAAAATACATACTTACGTCAAAAGTGTGTTGTAATACACAACGCATTTTCTCAGGGCCACGTCGACGGTAACGTCTTCATTTCGGCGCCTGTTTGAGGCATTTTTGATCCTTTCGCTTAATATAGCAAACAACACCGTAGCCAACGTGGTAAGTTTAACGAAAAGAAGGTCCATGGTGGAGTTAAGCCAAGCGCTAACCCCTACCACACAAACTTGGACTATATACACCGCCACGTAATAATTATCCGGATTGAACGGGTATTCGCCGTAGAAAGGGTAGTTCTTTTTGCCGGGAGTTCTGTCGAATTGCGGAAATATGCCGTACGAGATAACCACGCTAGCGCACAATATTCTGTAAAGGACAGCGGCGGTTTTCGCTTTCTGTATCTCATTTCGAAGCATCCGACTTTCGTGTTTATTAACCCTAGTTAACACGGTATCGGATAAGAGCCCGTCAATTTTCACGGTGTTTTCATTTTTCACTACGAAATTTATCAGTTTGTTGACGAACGCTATCTGAGTTGTGGAGAATAGGAATATTTCCGATATCTTCGTGACGTCGGATATTTGCTTCTTGGCGTAGACGGTTACCGATGCGAATTGGGTGAACGTGATGAAGACTACCGTCGAGCACACCAAGCTCACCAAGAGACCACGCCTGATTTTCGTCGGATAAAATCCGGCTATTCCTAGTAGTATTTTTTCCGTGTCGTAACTTTGGCTTATGTCGAACACCTTTAACAAAAATCACGAACTATACCGGGCAAATACACACCTAATGTGTCAACTCCAGAAGACGGATTGGAAACATATTTGGTATACATTTTTGTGGGTGTTTCAATGTAACCCCTTTCTGTTTTTTTCTTCATTGGAAGATTCAGTTAACCCGAGTTTTTAAGAAAATATTATCTTAATAAATCAATTATTATAAAATTATTTTATTCGATTATGCTTTCGCATTTTTTTACTTTATCTAAAATATTTTTCAATCAAACTTCCGCAGATCACTGTAATACCTTTTACAAGCCTGGGTCCCTTCTGCGCTGTTGTTGATCATTAGAACTTGCTGACTTTTCGCAAATCGTCAGAGCTTATCTAAAACTGGTTCGCATTCTATCGTACCTGTTTATATTGAGCGACAACGAAACCACATTTCCTTGACTTGTATTAAACATATGCAATTTGGTATGTTGATACAGTTAATTTTAGATGGGATATCCTCCATTTTTTTTTTAATTTCTCAGACTGGCTAAACAATTCCAAATAATTTTTGTTTAGGATACTTCATGTCGCTTTTGGAATAAGGCCGTTCAAAAATATTTTATTTTATGAAAAAACGAAGTAGGCCAGAACAAAAAATATTACAAGAGTAATTCAATAAAACATCACAAACAAAATTTGTTGTCGTTTAAAAAAAATGCAGTTATACAGGGTGTTTTCTAATTAGATGCCAATGATTAGGAGGGCGATTTTTGGTAAATTGAACTGAGGTGGCTTTTACTTGATGAAAATCCATTTATCAAAATAAATAAGAACTAAAAGTTCAGATTTTCACGAAATTATATATTTTGACATGATAATTGTTTCGACCACACCGTGTCTTTATCAAATGTAATATAATGTTTTTGAAAAACAATAAAACCAAATGTCTAAAATCCCAAAAATCAAGTGTCTACAGGTTGAAATGCGGATCTTGTCCTAAAATTTATATTGGACAAACAGGTAGGTAGATCCTTCAAGAAACGCATTAACGAACATAAAAGAGCGTTTAGAAACAATAGTCTGGATTCTAATTATGCTACGTACTTAAACGCAGAAAAATCCTCAAAACAGCCACAAAAAATAGAAAATTAAATTTATTGGAAGCAATGGAGATTAACAAAATGAGACATTCAAAAGTATTGCTTAACGATCAATTAGATTTAAATACCTCTCTCCTTTATTGAACTTAAATTCTCACAACAACTTTAATTAAGGTTTTATGGTCATTTTTCGGCATCTATAGTAGCAGGTAGTTTATAAATATTACATTTGATAAAGACACGGTGTTGTCCAAACAATTGTCATGTCAAAATATATAATTTCGTGAAAATCTGAACTTTTGGTAATTATTTATTTTGGCGATTTTTGGGTCCATTTTAAGAAGAAAACCTCAAATGGACATATGTCTTAAACCTCTTTAACTTGTGAGATACAGGGTGGTAAGGTTTTAAAAATTAAAATATATTTTTTAATATCTCTAGTACCATTTTAGATATTTTAATAAAATTTGGCACACATTATGTACTATATATCAAGTGGCGTTGTTTAGTGTACCACATTTTTTTTTAAATACGCCTGTGGCGATCGTACGGAATTTCACATGTCTCTTTTGGCAGACGGGCTACAATTAATAATTAATAATTAACAACCTTTTTAATAAAAAGTAGAACATATAAACTAGATAAGTTGATGAAAGTGAAGGACACACGTTTAAGCTGTTTTCCTGATATTGCCATAAGCCAGACTTTTAAGATGCCCCCATAAAAAAAGTTCAAACTATTGAAAATGTGTGATAATATTCTCTTACTTCAACACTATAGTAAGCAGGCACGCCGTCATGCATGAACCTCATTCTATTCCTAATTAAGTATGGTACTTGTTCTAGCAAAATTGGGAAATTCTCTTCTAAAAACCGTCTATAATTATGGCTTTTTAGCCTCTCTTGTAGCAAAAAAGGGTTCAACAATTCCAGCCCAAATATTTACGGAAAACATGTCATGTTTACATTATACAACCCAAATATGATTTTTGTAGAAATTTCTGATTGAATTTCTGGAAAAGTTAGCTTCATCTGCAAATAGTATTCCTTGGTCAAACAAGGGGTAATGAATTTTGTCCAAAAACCATTGACAAAAAATTATTTCCAATTCCAATATAATTTAAAACTGCTTCTTCAATTTCTGGAATTCTTACAGATCCATGGCTCCCTTTTAAATGATTATTATATGTTGTAGTCCACCTTCTGTGTACATTTGAAAATATTCGCTTATCTAGTATAACTCTCCTAATAGAGCCAGCGCTCCTTTTAACATAAATCAGTGGCGAACCATCAATGTCTGCCAAAATGGACGGGTCAAATTCCGAATGCCCCCCCCCCACCGGTGCGTTTTAAAAGAATTGTGGTACACTTAATAATATTTTTTTAAAACTTTACCACCCTGTATATCAAAAGTTAAGACATATATTCATATGAGGTTTTCTTTTTAAAATTGGCCCAAAAATCTCGCACTTATCATTTTTCACATTTTTAATGTAATGTTTCAATGTACATATATATATATATATATATATATATATATATATATATATATATATATATATATATATATATATATATATATGAATATATGAATGCGTCACTGTCAAATTGAAAAAGAAAGTTGCAAGGAACGTATTAATGAAACACGGTTAAAAATCTTATAAGTATCAAATTCACCAACCCTTAGTATTATGGTAAATTTTTGAGCGGTTGTATTTCAAAAACTATTAGTATTAGACATGGAGTAAAAAAAAGTTGTTTAGAATTGTTACATTAACCATTTGAAAATGCTGCCGTGGGCTGTAGTTTCCTTGTAAATCGGTATACTGTTTGAGAGGGGTAAACAGGTAAAGAAAATGCAGCGGTAATCGCGAACACAAGTGATTATCAGGAAAAATTTCAAGATATTCTTGAAAAGGGATCATACCGTCGACTTACAAAATATCGTACTTCATCTATGCAACGTAATATCAAATCTGCTCTTCTCTGCTAGGACCGTCACCCCTTATGACTCTAAAATTCCTGGTTTCTACTAAACTGACCTATTGTTAACACCATTGGTTCTCCAACATATTGTCTAGCAAAATGTCTGGCTGAATATTAGAACCCTTTACAGGAAAAACTGATGGTTTCGTGGTTAATTCCTTTCTCTTCATTAAACATTCATTGATTTAGAGTCACTCTTCATTAAAACTTACTGAAACTCTCAACATTATTTTCAGACATATTAAAATCCGACAATTTGCAATCAAACGTTCTCATCTTATTTGAATATGCTTGTCTGGAACATATTTTCCATGGTCAAGAATGCCTCCGAGATTATCTTGATCATTTATGCTCTACAGCCTAACGTACGTTTTTTTTTTTAATTAGAAATTAACAATAATTTTCCATTTTTAGATATTCTTATTAATAGAAAATTGAGCCATTCAGTTGACAGAAATTCTACGTACAGAAAAATGATCGGTTATTAACAGTCTTGTTTACAGAACCCAGAAATAAAATACCCTAGAGGTTTACATTGCAGAGATAGAACGAAAAATATAAAATAAGCTAAAAGAACGTGAACACGACATAACAGCGATCACAACTCAGTGGTGATGGATATCAAATTAAATAAAAAGGCGCATTGACATAAGGAAACTCGAGAATCCTAAAGAACGAAGACAAATCAGCCAAAAACTTGAGAATAGGATAAAAGATTTAGAAAGTTCAAAACACACTGAACCAGACGAGTCCTCATGGGAAGATCTGAAGGGTGCGCTAATAACGACCAGAATGAGCAAATAGCAGAATGGCTGATGAAATCATAACACTAATGAATGAACGGAGAGAACAGAATCACAAAAATACAGTTACGTATGCTTATTCGTGCGAAATATAAAAACAGAAGCTCTTTAGAAGAAACACAATCTGTTTCACTTACACAAGGAAATTAAGGAGCTTACAGGCAAGCAGAAAAAAGGTCACAATGGTTTATTAGAAAAATTGAACGACGTACTTATAGGGAAGGAAGAGAAACCAACAATGTAGAAAGAATATACCGAAAATATTTTTAATGATCCGAGACCAGACTTAGCCCCTGATGAAACAACGATGCTGGTCCTGAAATAACTAAAGAATAAGTTAAATACGCAACTAAACTTCAGAAGAACGGAAAAGCGGAAAAACGGATGAATGCTGATGTATTCGCATGCTTTATTGACTACAAAAAAGCTTTTGACTGCGTGCGTGTGTGAAAATCAACCTTCATCGATACACAAAACTTAAAAATCATAACCGAACTCTACTGGCACCAAATAGGAACAGTCTGAATCGAAGGGGTCACATCAGAAGAGGGTATAAATAAGGAGAGGCGTGCAATAGGGATGTGTGTTATCCCCCTTGTTGTTCAACCTCTACTCCGAGGCAGTATTCAGCAAAGCTCCCGAAAACACAAACGCAAGCATCAATTGGAACATTATATTAGCTGGTCTTCTCTCTAATAATTTTCACATTAGATATATTAAGCGGCCTATCACAAAATACGCTTCACCACAACCTGTCAAAGTGAGTCCGAAAGCAACTCCACACTTGTCACTGTGCTCCTTTCTCACGGTTACTGATCACTTATTAAAAGTTCTTAGGAACTTAACTTCGATCCGTCAAAGACAATATTCCGTTTGAGTCGCCAGCGGTTTAGAGCATTACATCCATACGCGTCTAAGAATACGTTGGAAGAAACAGGACGAAAAATAGCAGTCCAATCTTAATAATACTAATATATATTATTATTATAATAAATACTAATATATATTATTATTATAATAAATAATAATTATATTTTACAAAAAGCATCATAAACTTGGTGAAATTAATATACGATTAATACGAATCAGGAACAAAATTATAACACATTAGAATTTAAATTTGGAATTTAAATTTTAGTAGTTTTAATAGCATTGTTCTGTTAAAATGTGTTTAATAGTTACGGTGCTAACTCAATGGTGTAGTATATTAATATTAAAATTTCCAGCGTTTGCCAGACAAATACCGTTTAGAATAAATAGACAAGCAAATTTCAGCAGGTTCAACTGAACAAATAGACCCCGACAAGAATGTTTACGTTGTTTAAATAATATGTTCTTACTATCTTTTTTTGTTGGACAAATATCTTGCTGGCTCTAGGGCGGTTGTCCCATGTTGCCCCCAGCTTGGGTACAGTAATAGAGCAGTAACAGCGACAAATCGAGTTTATATCTTAGCTGCCATAACAAAAAACAGTGCGTAATCATTCCCTTTAGCACCCTGTCTACTTAATTTGACCAGTGGAATTTACCAGTCAGGAATACTCCTGAAAAGTTAGTTAAAGTTTTTAGTTGAGGGGATTTTTGTTGGTGATACACATGCAGACAATAATTGCTTGTATTATATTATGTGTTATATCTTATTTGGCCAAACTGAAATTTTTGCACGTTATGAATTTTTTTTATAAAAAAAATCTGAGAATCTATAGAATTCCCTAAACAACCGAACAATTTCAAACCCGACGCCACCTCAAACGGTACATAAGCAGGTACAGAGTAGACTGCATACCAGTTTCAGTTAAGCTCTGAAGAAGCCAACAGGATGATTGGCGAAACGTCATCAATTTTGTAAGAGAAAGATTTGCAAATAATACAACGAATCAAAATTTCCAATATCGTTACGACTATCTACTAAAACCAACCAAGACTATATACTTTCTAATTCTAATTCGTTAAGTGCAGCCACGTTCTAACGTAAATTAATAAAACAAACTAAATACATCGAACACCTGACGCGCCTCCCGACGTCGAGATGGATTTATATATCCATTTGTCGCAAATCTTGCAAGAAAAGCGTCGTTAATGCGTCTTCTCTATGCACATTTCAGCACTAAATCTGATGCCAAATAAGGATGCTTTTCAAAGTAGGCCACGAGGGTGATTAGTTATAAAGTTGGAGGTGCAAATTAAAAAGTATATATTACAAAATAACATAGGAAAAAAGACCGAAGCTATATCGTACAGTTCAAATATATGTTTAGATGATAGTTTTCCGTATTTCAGTTTCAAATTCAATAGAAAGACAAGATTGGCCGATGAAAGTGATGACAGCGGCGTTACTACATTTATTAGAATAATAAATATAGTACTAATTATTAAGTTAGGCAGATAATTGGGCTATTAATTATTCCAAGATCAGAATCTGCAGCATATAATCAAGCAAATTCGATAAAAATGTTTTAAATAACATCTTGCAATTGTAGAATGCTGTCTATTATCATTTAATAATCACATGTATTTTATAATAAATTATTAAGCATTTGTGACGCCCAATTTACCCATAACCCTCTTCAAGGAATATCCGAATACGATACTTACTCTTTGGGGAATCCCAATAAAAATATCTGCTCCATTTAGTTCCCAGAACGACACGTGTTTTCAAAATTATTTTGGTCAATTGACATATTATATACTTCATTTATAAATTTTCGCATATTCCGTTCTAACGGTTGCTTTTTTACTTAATTTTTTTTTTAAACTAGACCACTTAAATTTTGTATGCATATTATTCATCTATTTTGCTGTAAAAATAAAAGCCTGAAATGGTCTTGCCACAACTTCAATAAATTTCAGTTCTAAAATCATGTACTCTTTGCACTGTTTCATCAACTCCACGTTTGATAACATACTTCATTAGACGTTTCTAAAATCACAAAGTAGATGACGCACGAGTCATAAATTCAAATTCAAAAATTCATTAAATTTTTTAAATTTTTATTGAACCAGATTCAGTGATAACTTAAAACATTAACTAAAAAAGTGTCGACTTTTTTTAATTTGATCAAAGAAAAGAGAATGTATAAGGTAATTTAAAAAAAAATACCAATTTATATATACATTTTACGAATGAACATGCTGATATACAAAATCTGGCATTTGTAATTTTCATGAATCAACTTTGCCAAAGAAAGTCGGAAAGCAACTATAATTTTAAAGGACGGGTGCATTAAGAAACATAACGTGTATTCAAAAAGAGTAGGTCTGAATTGCGTTAGGGTAGGTAAACATTTGAAAGTTTTGGGCATTATATTATACAAATCAACAACATTATAGTGACATTTATTTTTAGTAAGAGACTACGAACATATAGAACAATTTTAATCTAATTCTTTCCCTCTTGTGCGATTAAATCTTAACTATGAGAACTTCCGTTTATGTTTTTTTGTAAACCTGATGTATGTGGTTAAACATTTACGAAGAAAAATAATTCATTTTCTTTTTGGAAATTTGGTTACTTACTAGTCCGTGTTAACAGACTAAACTGTTTTTGATGATGCAACCTGTAAAAAGCTGTGGTCATATTTTTAAAAATAAAACGCCAACTTCTTTAACAGTAATTGCTCAATTATTATTTAAGGACAGAAATTTAATGAAGATTGTTATCATTATAATGTGACAAGTAAAATTAAACTTTGTTTCAGTCGAGATTTCCAAAAAGGAAGATGACAAAATTGTAACAAGAAGTTGCCTGAAACCCCACAAAGTCTAATTATCATTTGCAAAAATTTATGGTTAGTTTGAAATCGTTGAAAAATGTTTTAGAGCAGACTCGAAAACCTAAGTATTCAAATTCTCAAAAAAAAAAGTAGCTACTTTCTGTCCTCCGCATAGGTTAAACCTAGCTGGACCACAAATCACACTTCACATATAACGACGCGGCAAGATCATTTTATGAAAATATTTTCCATAAATCTGTAATGCATTGTTTCCAAGATATTATTTTTTTAATTAATTCAGTTTTTTTCTCACGGCATCGTAGTTCCTAGTAATAAAGGACTAACTAATGAAAAATTAAACAGTGGCGTACAGGCGGATGTACCTTGGAAACAATGCATTTCCAGACCTATTTTTTTTTCATAAAATGATCTGCGGAATCGCCGCTTTCAATATTACTGCTTCTTTCTTAAACACTGTTACCTGGTGACCCTTGCTTCTCCCCCCAAATATGTTTTTTATAATTTCAGAAGACTTGAACAGGACATTTAAAAAAGTTTGTATGAATGGGTGAAAGCAGTGTCAAAAAAAAAATACAGTAAAACGTTTTTGAGTCCTCTCATTTGCCATTGGCCCTTTCGAAATGATATAAGTAGTTTAATTATCAATTCCGCCAAAAAAAATGACAGTTTTTTGGTGGTTTTCGTTTTTTTATTAATTAATTATATATAATTTATTAATTTGACGATTAAATTTTTCTACATCTTTTGTTCGAATTTGGGGTAGTTCAGCTAGAAATTATTTTTTAATGATGTTGTGGGCCCTATCGTTTTTATCACCTTGGTGTGATCGAAAAATTGAAATGTAAATTAAAATTTATTATTATTTTGTCATTTTGTCACATTCGTACAATGTGACCTATATTATTTAAAAAATAATCATTTCTGAAGAAATTCCTCTAAATTTAAAGTAGTATATCATGCAACAAGTTTGATAAACACTTTAGGGACAAGTTTATTTTGGCCCGTCAGGATAAGACCACTAAGTAGTAAATAATTGGGTATTTTATAGTAGAGCGTAGAATACGACAATACGAATACGCAATAGAAAGACCAAACGAGATCATATAAGAAACGAAGATATGCGGCAACAATGTAATATTCAAGATATAGTAAGATGAGTACGAGAGAGAAGAAGAAATTGGAATCAACACGTAACGAGAATGGAAGAGCGCAGATTAGCAAAGATCACAAGAGGTGGAAAAGCCGAAGGGAAAAGATCAAGAAGAAGACCACAAAAAAATGGCAAGATAGCTGGTCATCAGAATCACAAATAAGATTAAATATTACCCAGTAAACACAAGTCATTGGACTTAACGTAGGATTAAGAGGAACAATAAATTCAGTTGAGAAAAAAAAGAAAAAACCCCGATTATACTCTAGATATTTTTCTTTTCAATAAATGTTGAATTATTCTGTAAAATATATCGTTGCCTTTCCACTTATTTGAAATGTTGTTTGGCCTTTTAATCCCAATTTAACGCCTTTCATGTGGCGATATATTACGCACCTACGGATATTTGATACAATAATTCCTAACCCAACACAGAAATATATAAGAAATTCCCCCAGCATCGCGATTCTAGTAGAGTCAAATATGATTTTCCGCTAATTTTCCATTTTTATCAAATTTTGAAGAGAAAAAACGCAAAGTTCCTTCAATTTAATTTTTTTTATATTTATTTATTTTTTATATTTTATATTAATTTATATTTAATTTATATATAATTTATATTTTTTAAAAAATCTTGATGTTCGATATTACCTCTGTCATCTTTATCGCTCTGCTGAAACCACTAAATCACAATGGAAACTATTAGGATTGGGCTTGGCCCGGAAAAGATTGCAACCAAATTAGAAACCTGATTTTCAATTCCCTTTTTAAATACGTCCGCCATTAATTGTCGCGTCGCTTCGGTTGTCCTTTGGAGTGTTTAATTGCGGTCCACAGAAACGAATTAATATTTAAATCAAAAATTAGAGATAATGTCTAGGAGATAATTAGAAGATCGCTTTCACCGGAAAATAATGAAATTTATCTTGTTGCATTTTGTTCTATCGACAAATTTGTTGACTCAACGTCATTTCTTGATACGAATTTCTAGTTAGTTTCTATCGTCGGTAAATAATCGTGCGGCCTAATTTTTCTTCTTTTTTAATTTAATTTTTTAGTTCAAATATATGTATATAGCTTCAAGATTGTTATTACTTGTAAATCCACACAAATTATGAAAAGGTATTTTATTCCAACTATTCCAAAATTTCCAATTAACCAACCAGAACATTTGGAAGAAACTGGTAAAGAATTATGTTGTGTTATATACAATAATAGTTTGAACGTGATAGTATAAAAAAATGATCAAGGCCATAGCTTCGAAAACTGGCTCTTAGTTCAATTTTATTTGAAATATAAGTTAACCTTACTAATATTTTCCTTTTGTAGGCACGTTTTATTTATCAAGCCAAACGTTGAGATTCAAATACTTCTGAGATATTAAACATTAATATTATGTTTTTCAAAAATTTTTCAAAAATGATAATTTACTAAAATTTGCCCTGGGTAAAAAAAATAATTCCTTTGAGACTAAACAAATTTTTCCTCCTATTTCAGATAAAATTTCAAAAACTTGGTAACGGAATTTTTTAAAATTAAATTAAAATTAGCAATTTTCAAACTCTCAGGAAGGAGCGATAACAACAGGCATTCGTGTAATTTAATTAAAATTTCTGCCGAATTTTGTTCTCTTATTTCAGGTAAATTTTCAGACTTGGCAACACAGTAAAAAAACTTTATAAAATTAGTAATGTTTGGTTTTTTTTCTGGTATATTTCTATCCATATATTCTGGGGTTATTTAAAGCGGGTCTAACAAGTTGCGTTGTTAGGTAAGGAAAATCACTACACATCAATAGCATGCCCGACATAAAAATGATTGTGTAGTGGTCCCAGTGAGTAAAAAACCGTCAAGCAACTTAAAGACACTGTATATGAAAAAAAAATCAAAGTAGAGCTAAAGAAATTCTTGATAATTACAGACAGATTAGAAATTACGCAATATCGGAAATAATTTACATAAAAGACATGTATACATACATTCATTACGTTGACGGGAGTGCAATGTTGTTTATAATATGGCCGCCTAACTTGTAAAAAAATGTCAAGTTAGTAATCAAACGCATTTGTCACGAATTGCTTTTTATTTAGTTTCCACCTAAATTTACTAGCGTTATTTCAAAAATCGTTTTAGTTTAAAAAAACCTCATTGTGACTTTATGTGTGTGTGTATGACTCTATTCTTGATTGTAAAATGGCTCCTATCGTTATATTAAGTATGAACAAGCAATAAATATTGCTTCAGTGCTGAATAGTTTGTTCATTAATATATATATATATATATATATATATATATATATATATATATATATATATATATATATATATATATATGTATATATATATATATATAATTTTTGTTTTGTGCGGCTGGTTTCATAAAAAAACTGATACGGCTTCAAAATTCTACTTTATATTTTGAGCAGTAAAGGGTGTGTTTGTGTTTCGTCAACTGATTTAACCAAAGTCGTAAGAGTACGTATTTCTATTGCATTGCCATTGTGTGAGGCACTTCATAACTACAAGAAAAGTGTATCCATCTCTTACAATAAATTGTATTATTAAATCTATTTTTATTACAAAAAAATGATTTAATTAGCCTTTTTTGTTTGTGTCAATACAAAATTATTGTAAGCGATAAGAGACATTTTTAGTAAATTTGTGAAGATATCTTACAAAAAATGTATATTATGATTATATTTATATAGGTTTTAGAGAATTCAGTATTTTGTCCAATGTTATTGTGTGTAGTTGTTTGTTCTAGTAAGTTTTATCATTAAACGCATCTAAACTAAACAGAGTCAATTTTTTATTATGTTAAAAATAAGATTAATTTAACGGACAAAATGAATAAATATTAATTTCGTTGTATTTCTAAAATAATTTCATCACCAGAAGAAACACTTGGAAGGAATTTTATATTTTATGCAATCTACAATCTACATCCGCATCAATCACAACTTGAAGTCATGGTCATGAAGGGAGTTATGAAGTTTTTCTTCAAGCGACAATTCTTCCCATGCTTTCTCAACACCTTGCCATAGCTCCACGCTGCTTTGAGGCATAAAATTTTTTCGATGCCGCCGTTTCACCATTATCCCCCATATGTTTTCCATGGGATTGATGCCACGACTGTTGCTGGGGCCATGGTAAGGTTGGACAGAACAGTTGTCGGAAAATATAATTTTTCCCAGATAAAGTTGTCTCAACCATAACGTTCTGTAATATTTCGGTATAAGTTTGACAAACAAATCTTCTCTCAATCCGCCATGCCATTCCCATTCCGCTGACTGGAAGATTTTTTATCGGAAAATGTGAATCTATCCCAAAACTGCTGACCTTGCGCTTGATAGTTTCTTCACGTCTCCACACTTTATTAATGGTCAAACGGTTGTTCTGCTTACATTAAAATGTTGAGCTACCGCGAATACGGACCAAGCATCTTCTAACTTGGTCACAATTCTTGCTTTTAACTCTATGATCGTATGTGGAGCCATTTTAGACTTGCCTTTATTTTCTAACGTATTTCTGGCAACGCCGATTTGTTTTTTTTTAATTTCCTGTGGTAGTATTAGAAATATGAACATCATGAAGTTTGCATGACAACGACGTGGTGGCCTATAATAAACTGCTCAATAGTTTGAAAAAAAAATGCTTTAAAAGTCATACCAGTTTTTTATGAAACCAGCCGTAGGTTATGTTAACATTTATTTTTATGAATAAACTTAATTATTGTTATTATTATAGTCTTTTTGTTTACTGCTGGTAATGTTGTAAATACTCAAACGACGAACTACTCAGACGGGCCTGAACAATCTCTGTGCCTCCTCTGATGGTATCAATTGGGAACCGTGACATCGCAAATAAAAACCATCATGTGCTTTTTTTTTAAGTGTCAATCATTCTCAGTATAGACTGGCCAATACTAATTACAAAAAACTCGTTACAGAAACTAAATCCAAGGGATATACCGGCTTTGTATCTAGATCCACCAACATAAAAATCTGTTGGGCTTTAATTAATCATGAAAATAATCACTCTTCAAGGGTTTCACCCAAATCAATCTCGCCCGAATGCGTCCGCTGACAAATCGAATTACCCATATCTGCATTTAAGAAGAATTCCATTCCCTCGCCATTCTTTCATTTTGAATCCACTCTCTGAAGGCGAAGTTTAGTATTAGCCTAAGTCATTCAAGTTCCACTTTTTTTGTGCTGTAGTAAAGTGAATCAAAATAACATTAATCTCTTGGTCCTTGTTATCTACACAGAACTCTATCCTAGTGAGGCCATATTGACGGCTTTCCGAGAAGCCTACTTTTATTGTTACACAGCGTAATTTTCTATAGTATAGTGCTTTGAGACGGGGTTAGATATTCGGAAAAGGCTTTCCAAAAAGCTGTGCGTGTGCTGTCCGGAGCCGATCCATTTGTAGACCAATTTTTACCCGCTTACATATTATATGATAATAATAAAAACAACAGCATGAAAAATTACAACAGATATACAATATATAAAGTAAATTAGGAAAACATGCAACAAAGTGCTTGAAATAAATCGCAGCCATCCAGGCAAAACCCAGATACTGTTAAAAAGAAAAATCATTGTTCCAGATAGCAAAGAATTTTCAATAATCAATAAATATCCAAATTATACACATGGACGTTTGCTCTAACGGATTTTTTTTTATACAGACAGCGATGTGACTTATTTTTAATGATCTTTAAATAAAAAGATGCCATATGCAACTTGAATTTATGTGTGTTATGTGTTGAGCCAGCCAGCAGTTCGAAGAAAATTTCAATTCAATTCCAAAAATCAACCTCAAGCATGAGTTTTAAAGTTTTTTATTCGTCTTTTATCGGCTGCGTCAATTCAAGGGCTGTAAACACTAGAACAGTGGTTCAGCTGAGACAACATTTTAGAGTCTCAAAGCAGCCTCTTGGTCTCTTGTGTTAAGTAGTATCTGTAAGAATAAATTAGTTTTAAAGTACCATAAGCTTTTTTCAGTTTTTCAGTTACATGCTGACGGACACGAAGAAACATGACACGAGCAACTAGAATTAGCAAAATTCACATACTTTAAGTTTTCAAGAATAACCAACCCCTTTTTTAGTTTTACCAAGACCAAGCTTTTTCAGTTCACTTCATTTTTGTTTTATGCTGCAGTTTTGAAATTTATTTTGTAAATATGCTTTTTTTTTTCGAATGGCCGCCATAGTGAAATTGCGCAATTGAAAGGGTTGCTTAGTTATTGTAAATCGTTTTAGAGGTTTGTTTCTCAAGGGTGCATGAAAATAAAGTATATCCTTAGTATAGTCGCTTAACAAACTCACTCACCTGTTGATCAATATTGTGGGCAAGTAAAATATTATGCTAAGGAATTTTATCCAAATCTCTCTGAAAAAATTATCACCCTGCTTTCTACCGACCTGTTTTTTTATATGTATCTGAATGTCGTGAATGTCTATCGAGTAACCACTAATAGGCACGACTGCAATACCAGGAAGTTGCTAAGATCACACCTGCTTACTGCAGACTGTCATGCTCGCAATGTATTAAGATTAATGTAAAATTTTATAATGTCCTCCCGTCAAATCTTAAAAACCAAACTTTCAAGCAATTTAAATAGTATATTATGCAACAAGTGCGGTAAACGGCATTTGAGTCACCGAGTTTATTTGACACCAACGAAGCGCAGCGAAGCGAGTGTTTAATAAACGAGCGATTTAAAAAGTTTACCGAACGTATTGCATACTATATTTTTTCTACTGCCGTTAGTTTTTGAGTACATCTTCGCAAAACAACACAAATACATTCACTGACATGACCGTCAGAATTGACAAACTTCAAAATTCAAAGCGTGGGAAATGTCTCCGAAAACATCCGATTGCTTCCAAACCCGTGCGGTAAAATCCCGGAAATGTCCGAAGTGGCTCGGATCGGTGGGAAACGAAACTGACGTGGTAAAGTGACGCTTCCTGCACGTAAGATCGATGTGTAATTAGGTGTTTTACAGACGGGAGTAGAAAAATAAAATTGTAACACTAATGAATACGTGGAGCTACTAGTCATAATATGCTATAATGAACTTTCGTATTTTATGTACTCTTATTATTAGATTTGTAGGTAATATAATAGTTATTAGTTACTTCTCTGTATATTGTATCAGTGTTTTGTTATTTTGGACGTATTATTTGTTGTTGTATAACTTCCCAGGTAGCAGAGGCTAGTCAAAGTAACATCATTTTCGAGTCGCTACTCGTCAGTGGCGCAAAAAACAAGTCAAATTGACGTTATGGACTTTAAGCTTAATAATTAATTTAAATTATTATCAAATTCTTCTATTTAAAATGTATGATGTAGAAGAATATATCCAGAGGGTAATATATCTTGTTGATTATTTGTTTTAGAGAAATATGTTAAACAAAAGGTATGGATGAGATTAAAAGAACTTCATACATGTGTAGTAATTCAAACTTATATTTCTTAAATGGAACAGCCTGTATATCATGGTATTATTAGATTTATACGCAATCACCTAATAAAGGGTTGTTATAAGCTAGATTGAGTGTGTTTGATGATTGATGGCCATTTTTTTTCTTCAAAAATACATAATAAAACTAGAGCGCCGTTTCCGACAGCTCTAGTTTTATTATGCCAACAATTTCATAAAGTGGTACAGTTATTTTTTCTATACTTGTCTTTAGTTAGTTCGAATCGTTTATACGGGGTGAGTCAATAAGAAAAATATTAATTTTCGTGAAAAATTTCACTTTTACTATTAAAAGCTCATCTTTATTCATTAACTTTAATTCTCTATTTTGCGCAACCGTAAAAGACGTTCTATGTAATTTAATTTAATTTACTTTCGATTTTCCCCACTCCAAAAAGAAAAAAAAACAATTTAAAAATCGTTATAATTTTCGGCAGTAATGACCAAAATTTGACTTTAAGTTGACATAAAAAAGAGGTCACTTAAATTAAATATTTACTATAATAATTGACGTTAAAAAGACGTCACTAAAATGACATCATTCGTCTGAGACAGTAGTAGGTCAAATTCACGTCGTGCTGACGTCATTTGGAGACTAGTTGATGACGTAATTTTGACGACCATCTGCTCACTGAGTTATCTGAACATTACTTTGGTAAATTTTGAAAAATTAAACGAATCAAACTTAATGCGTCTTATTCTGATTTCAGACGGGGACGTAATTTGGAGAGGGAACGTGACCGAGACTACGACAATCGCGACTATCGTGACGAGAGAGGTAGCTACCGAGACAAGGGACGTAGGGAGCGTCGCGACAGTCGGGAACGCCTCTTTGACGAGCGCGAATTCGACCGCGACAGGAAAGGCAGATCGGGCCCCGCACCGCTTCAAGCTCAGCTGTGGAACCCACCAAGCGCCAGGGATGCGTACTACCCTCCGCCGGGCATTCAACCGCCCCCCGCGATGTTGCCTCAGCAACCTGGGTTTCCGAACAGGTGAATAAATAGTTCAAAAAATGATAATTTGGAAAAATTAGTTTGTCAAAACGAACTGTTGTTCGACGTATAATAATGATAATGAATGTAAAAACAATATTAACTGACAATACTGCTGGTTTTGTCAGAAATAACTCAATTAGCTATATTTATTCCAGGTGTCTATAAAATGTACACTAAATTAAACGTACAAAAAGATGATTTAATAGTCCATCAGTTTAATGCGAACTCCAGAAACATTGTCGTAACGACGTGATATACTATTGTGAAGTCTAAGCAAAGTGAAAATGCTGAAACTGAAACTGAAGCTTAGCAATGAGATTTTATGCAAATAAAAGGAAAACCACCATTTGAATTGAGAGGCCCAAAATGAAAATGTGGCTTTTCTGGTCGACCTTACAGTATGTTTGAATGATTTAAATTTGAAACGTAAAAAACAATTTACAATTGTTACCAATAAGTTTTATATTACAAGGTAATTTATTGTAAAAATCTTCTGGATTTCTTCTGAGTCGATTGTTGCTGACGTTTAGTCAATCATCTTGTCGACTTCCTTAGATCTTAACTGAAACGGGCTCCTCGAATTCCTGTTTAGAAAAGTTCTGTTCGGGATTCTCCCTCATAGTACACGGTTATTTTTAAATTTGCTTACCCACCAGCAGGGATTAACGGGACCTGATTTTTTTTTCAATTTAATTAAATATTTTCTTCTCTTAAAACAGGTGTGTTCAAAAAGTAAGGTGACTTTTAAGTTTTATCAAAAAGTACCACGTATAAACATTTTTTTGCTCAAAGTAGATTCACCATATGCCGTTGTTGCCGAGTACACAAAACACATCCAACGCACGTCTCACAAAAAAAGTAAACGTGCAAACTGGCTGAAACTGCGAACATATGTTAGGAACATGTATACCAACATAACAAAAAAAAATCGAACATGGATATACATAGCCCGCCCAATTACAAAAGTCTCCTTACTTTTTGAACAAACCTCTTATATCATGACTTTAGTATTTGCCGACATTTCGTACATAAAATACCATTACCAGAATTTATTTATATTTTATATGAACTACATCGCAACTCATAAACTTTCTTGAAATTAAACAAAATAAGTAGACAACAAATCAGTTTACACAAACAATTTGTGCAATGCTATCTTGGTATCCATATTAAAAATAATAGTATATTATGTATGCATCAAGTGCGGTAAACGGCATTTGAGTCGCAAGTTTATTTGGCACGAGCGGAGCGCTTACAAGGTTTACCAAACGTGTTAGTTAGGGATGTCCGAAGAGGCTTGGATCCGTGGGACAAGAAACTCACGTGCTAAAGTGACGCTAGATCGGTGTATAATTAGGTGTCTTAGAGAAGGAAGTAGAAAATCATAATTTAATTACTATAAGTGTTCAAAGAGATAATCTTCTGCCTCGCTGCATTTTCTTGCTTTGCTTTCCATTTTTAATACAGCTGATGAATTGTTTTCGCAGGAATGGCACCGAATTCTCCTGTCAAATTTGACTTGAAGGTCGTGAGGTGCATTTTTAAATAAACGGTTCTTAAGATAAGCCCAAAGGAAATGATTTTAATAAAGGTATTGCGACCCAGAAGGGGTAATAAAAATAATTGAAACTGTAATCGGTTAGGGGCGCAAGTACGACTCACCGTTACGCCTCGTTGAATCAGCGTACATCCGTATGCAAATACCACTAGGTACGGCGGTTTGACGCAAGCCTCCGGCGATGGTGCAAGTTTTTCGGTCGCGGAAAACTTTGGGAAATTCGATTTAAATCTCGAGACTAATTTTACCTTCGCGTTACCGGACACTTGCGCTCTCTCTTCTCGTTGCTTGTCGCAGATGCGAAAAAAAAGTAGATTACGCGCGCATGCTTTGGGAAAAAAATATATAAAAATTTATTCGCGACATACCTTGTTTCTGGACGCAACATTTCTTCCCTGCAAAAATGCATATTTTTTGTACAAAATACATTTTGAAAAAAATAAATAAGTAAAAGCGATCCGCTTTGAAAAAAAAAATGAATAAGGAAAAAAAACTATATTTCGAACATAACTTCGGTTAACCATATAGGTATGCTCCGTTCATCGATATAAGAAAGTGACCAATAGCTTTTGAACGGATTACCCAAGAGTGGTCATTAACATACAATGCAACAAGATTATTACCTTAATTAATAATTTATTAATTAATAATTACCTTATTTAATAATAATAATCTTGTTGCATTGTATGTTAATGACCGCCCTTGGATAATCCGTTCAAAAGCAATTGGTCACTTTCTTATATCTACGAACAGACCATAAGTACCCAACTATACCTTATGGAAACTCAAATATTCAGTTTTGATTGGACGCCACACAGACAAAAAATCTACATCTCGACTTATTCCTGGTTAAGAAGTGAAGTGAAAAACTTGCACTATCGGCGGAGGTTTGCGTCAAACCAAGTGGCATTTGCAAACGGCTGTACCAGAGGCGCCTCAAAAAGAACGGCCACCCAGATTCCACGATGCGTAACGGTGAGTCGTACTTGCGCCCCTATCCGATTACAGTTTCAATTATTTTTAATACCCCTTCTGGGCCGCAACAAAAGAATTGACTTAAAAAAACTACCAAACTTGTTGCGCACTATGCTTTTCTACGACCGTTAGTTTTTGGGTACATTTTTGCGAAACAACACGAATGGTAAAATTGACGAAAACATCCTATTGATCCCAAACCTGTGCCATAATGTCCGAAGTTGCTCGTATCCGTGAGACAAGAAACTCACACTAGATCTCTGTATAATTGGAAATTTTGTAGAAGGTGGTGCAAATAGTATATTATGCAACAATTGCGGTAAACCTGTTGCATACTATACTTTTTCCACGGATCACATATGACTTACGAGTTCATTTGACACGGGCAGACTGCAGCGAAGCGAGTGTTTAATAAACGAGTTTTTGGGAACATTTTCGCAAAACAACACGAATACATTCAGTGACATGACCGTAAAAATTGACGGAAATGCCCAAAGTGGCTCGGATCTGTGGGAAACGAAACTAACGTGGTGAAGTGACGCTTCCTGCACATTAGATCGGTGTGTAATCAGGCATTTTACACACGGGAGTAGAAAAATTATTTTATATACGTTTTATGGGATAGTTGAGTTCATAAACAAATTGAATAGTTGATTTGCTGGGGTTGTTGTTAACCTTAAATATTGTAAAAAAGATAGAAAAATAAAAAATAAATTAACTTCATTATTAATTTCTTGCTCTTCTTCGGTAATTACACTGGATATATATTTTCTTCTTGGTTCAATTAGTTCATATTTAACATGAGTGTCAAGATAGTATAACACAAATTGTTTATGTAAACTGATTTGTTGTCTACTTTTTTTTGTATCTTATGTTTATTTTCATGAAAGTTTCTGTTAATAAAGTAGTTTCCGCTGTTAGATATCAATAAGTTGCATTAAAAACATCAGGAAAATGTAATAAGCTTATTCTTTTTTTACCTTCTTACTTCTGATTAAAAATCAGGTTCGTATTAAAAAAAATAAAGTGCTGATGGTCGCTAGAAGCCGAAACGCTAGATTCAATATTTAATCGTACTGAGTTATAGAGCAGAAAAAGTTGACATGAAAATATGATTTTTCATTTTAAATTATATTAACAAATAAAGACAAAATTGACATGAAACCGAAATTGAAAATATTGTTTTTTCGAATATTTTCGAAAGTATTCAGAATTTATTTTCGGCATTTTATTGGGCATCAAAGTATCTCTTACGGTTTCTGAAATCCCAATGACGAGCGTCGAATTTTAGCCCCCCTATAATTCTACTGCGAAACCAACCAAAGTTGGTTAATGAATGTTTGGGAATGTTTTCTTTGTTTTTACAGATATCCCACGCGGGATTACCATCCTCCGCCTCACATGGCGCCTCCGATTCAAAATCTGCCGCCCCAACGCAGATTCGACGACATCGCGCCGCCCGGAGTGGAAGAGCCTCCGATTCCGGGCCTGGAATCGGAACTGCCGGAAGTGAACGAGTACAGCAGAAAACCGGTCGAGGTTAAGGAAAAGTACGGCAGTCCAAAAGCGGAAGACAGGGAGCGGTCGAAAAGGGAAAGAAGGTCGAGGTCGAGGTCGCCCGAAAGGTGGCGCAATCCGAGTCCCAAGCCGAGGGGCGAAACGCCGGAGAAGCCGAGGAAGCGTCGCAGCTCGTCGGACAGGGACGATAGGAAAAAGGACAGGGACCATTCGGACGACGAGAGGAAGAAAAACAAGGAGAAACGAAAACACCGCGAGAAAAAAGAAGATAAGAAAAAGAAACGGGACAAGAAAGACAAACACAGGAGGAGCGAAAAGGAGAAGAAAGAGAAGGGGAAGGAGGAATTCAAACAGGTCATACCGAAAACCGTGGACGAAAGCGAGGACGACGGTAACGGGATAAAGAAACGTTTGGGAGAGCGCAGAAGCAAAGCGGAAACGGTCGACGACTCGAAAGAGAAGGAATCGTCGAGGTCGCATCGGAAGAAGGAACGCGAAGAGGAGGAACGGATCCGCGAGGAAAAACGTCTGGCGGAAGAGCGCAAAAAGGAAGAAAGGAGGCTGAGGTTCCTCGAGGACGAGAAGAAGCGCAAAAACGAGGAAGCGAAGAAAAAAGCGGCCGAGGAGGCGAGGAGAAAAGCGCTCGTGGAGGAAGAGGAGTTCGAGGCGAAGCCTAAAGGAACCGATTTGTACGACGACGTGTTGAGCGAAAAAGAAAAGGCGGTCGTGGACGAGGTGGCGGAAAGTTTCGCCAAACCGGAACCACAGAAGGAGGTCGAGGAAGGCGAGGTGCTGACCGAAGAGAACCGCACCGCCCCTAAAGAAATCGAAGACGAAGATGCGGGGATCTTGGAACTGCACTCGAGCGATATGGACATCAAAATCGAGAGCGACATATTGGCGCCGTTGCCGGAAAAGTCGAAATGGGAGGTGGACGAGGACGGGCAAGTGGCCCAAACGAGCCCGACGGAAAACGGCAAAGATAAAAGCGACCCGAAAACGGCCAAAGTGACGAACGAGGTGCTCAAGCGAGCCGAGAACGCGATCTTCGCGAAAGCAATCAACGCCATCAGACCGATTGAAATCAAAAGGATCAGCAGCGATCGAGCCAAGCTCTATTCGGACGAGAAGCCGGAACCGGCGGAAGAAACGAAGAAACCAATCGATTTGACACACGAGAAGCCCAAATTGTCGATCAAGGATCGGCTAGGAGTGAAAGTCGACGACAACGACAGGGTTATTCTGGTCGACGGTCAGCACAGAGGGAGAACCGTGTCGCCTTTCAGCCGCCGGGAGAGGCGAATCGAACTGGATGAATCGAGGAGGCATGACAAGAGCACCAGATCGAGATCACGGAAACGCGAAATGAGCCAAGACAGGCAGAAAGAGATGAAGGCGAAGGATCCAAAGAAGATCGACAGAAACAAGCGGGAAAGCAGGAAGGATGAACCGAGACCGAAAGGTAGGATCGAGGAGAAGAAGGACAAACGCAAACGTTCGCGATCGAAGAGCGAGAACGAGGATCATAGAAGGAAGAAGAAGGAGAGGAAGACGAAGAGGGACAAGTCGAAAAAGCGCGAAGACGGGAAGGACGAGCCGGAAAGGAAAGAGTCGCAGGAGAAGGAGATGAAAAGGAAGACGACGCTCGACGAATCCAGTTTCGAGCCCGATTATGACTTGGAGCTGCACACGGACGGCGGCAGTAGCGATGAAGGCAAGGGCAAGAAAATTTCGAAGAAGAACGACGAGTCGGACGAAGAAGAGAGCAGCAGTTCGGATTCATCGAGCTCGAGTTCGGAAGAAGAGAGGCGAAAGAAAAGGCACAAGAGGCATAGGAAGAAGCGGAAGCGGGAGTCGAGCAGCAGCAGCTCGGAATCAAGTTCCGAGTCGAGCGATTCGGAACGCGAGAAAAAGAGGAAAAAGCACAGGAAGACGAAAAAGAAGAAAAAGAAGTCCAAACATAAGTAAGTAGCCGCGATCAACATTTATACGCCTAATTTGTTAAACATATTAAGGGGATGTAAGTTTTTGTTTACATGTTGTGTGGAGTTTTTTTTTGTACATAATTACAAAGTCCCGATGGGCTATGCTAAATATGAGTTAATAAACATGATATTTCATCAAAGTCGCATTTTTTTTACACCCACAACTTTTCCCGTAAAACTGTCCAAATGTGAAAACTAAGTTAACCCATTATGTAAAACTGAGGCATGTGTTTTACGTATTTCGCTTTAAAAAGAACCTAAATTAACAGAAGACAGATCAGAAAGACACTAACGCATTATGTAAAACTGAGGTATGTGTTTTATGTATTTCGCTTTAAAAAGAAACTAAAATCACAGAAGACAGATCAGAAAGACCCTAACGCATTATGTAAAACTGAGGCATGTTTTACGTATTTCGCTTTAAAAAGAAACTAATATCACAGAAGACAGATCAGAAAGACACTGATGTTTTAGATTTTATCCATGATTTTTATTTATTTTTGATTTTTTTTTAAATTACACTCAGTTTAGAACGGTTAAATAATTCATGTTTAAATAATTTCTTCAAAATAGAAAACAGATTGTTGACTCAAAATAAATTGATATTAACTAACTATAAATTTTGTTCTGGATTTATATCGAAGCTCTCTACATTGCTAATAACAGTGCTTTAAAATTTGTTGTTTAAATGAGCAAATTGTCCTACAGTTGCGCATTACCTTTCGGAAATGACGTCATGTTTGGTTATTTTTATTTAATTTATGTCAACTGACAGGCAAAAAAATTTTGAAAATAAAAAATTGTCGTGTCCCTATAACAGTCAATGCCGACTTTGGTTATTTTTCTTTCAAAATGTATTTGCCAAAATTGACATTGATTTATTATGGCGCTACCTAGATATAATCAGCAATTATTGCTAAAGGCAATTTTTAAGGGGCAGATTTCTCTGATCATTTCATGAGTGAAGTTCCCATAAGTTTAGTTTCAAAAATGCATTGTTTACAAGACACAGGGTGTTAAAGCATTGTATCAAATAATGTTTTTTAAATTAATTCAAATATCTTCTTACAGCTATAGCGACGTAATCAAAAATGATCCGTATGTGTGATATTTACGCGACGTTTGACACCGATTTCAAAAGTGACAAACAAAATTCCTATGTTAGTTTATGACATCCAGTAATGGACTAGATAAAGATGTCAAGTTATAAGGTACCTGCTTAATTGCTGTGACTGAACTTTACAAAGCTTTATTTTCGGTTTTATTGTTCTATTGGTGCGTAGAGGCTGAAAAGTTGTTTGTGATTGTTACTGTTTTCTTCATCAATAAACAGGCGGGTGATGGGTTTTCAAAGAGCGTAATTTTATCTTTTTCAAGAAATGATATTAAGTGTATTGAAAAGTGACCAATAATTTTGGGCGAATGATCAGTGGCAACTGCCCAAGCTCTTCTTCGTTTATTTTACGAAGTGAAGTTATCTGTGGTTTTTGTTTTGTGTTCTTTTTCTTGCGCCTGCGTATTTTTCGAAGGTGTTAATTTTTGATACATTTGTGCGTTGTGATGTTGATGTTTATAAAATAATTATTTTGAATCATTTCTTATAAAATGGCCATCGAAAATAAACGTAAAGCAGACGATTCATCTGCTTTGGTACCCGTGCCAAAAAAATCCAAGAATGAAGTTGCAGTGGGAAATAAAAATAAATCGGTTTTGCAGGCGGTAGGTATACATTGAATTGAATTCAATTGAATTCCATCTATTTCAACATGCTTTTTTGCAGGCACCGGCAAGAACTTCGAATTTATTCGCACCTATTATGGTGTGTGAAGGGCACGAAGGAGAAGTATTTACTGTAGACTTTCACCCAGAAGGGCAATACTTTGCTACATCTGGATTTGATAGAAAAGTCTGTAAGTAAACCAAACTATCCACGCTAAAGCAAGGTAATAAATTTTGTTTTATTTAGTTTTGTGGAGTGTTTATGGAGAATGTGAAAATATATCTGTTATGACTGGACATACTGGAGCCGTTACAGAGTTACATTTTACACCTGATGGTTCCAATGTTATCACCTCGTCGACGGATTATACTTTGGGACTTTGGGACGTTGTAACCAGTCAGAGAGTTAGAAAGTATAAGGGACACACCACATTTGTTAACAGTATCCATGGTGCCCGCAGAGGCCCTCAGCTGATGGTATCGGGGGGTGATGATAGTACTGTGAGAATATGGGACCAGAGAAAGAAACAGTGCAGTTTTACTATGGACTCTGTATACCAAACTACAGCAGTTACTTTTAATGATACTGCTGAGCAAGTTTTTAGTGGTGGAATTGACAATGATATAAAGGTTAGTTTCAGAGAATAATTGTTAAGCATTTTGATATATATTTTTTGTTTAGGTTTGGGATGTCAGAAACAAGGAGATCTTGTATACATTAAAAGGTCACACTGACACAGTAACTGGCCTGGCATTAAGCTATGATGGATCCTATGTGTTAAGTAACTCGATGGATAATACCCTCAGAATATGGGATGTTAGACCCTATGCTCCTGTAGAAAGATGTGTAAAAGTATTTAACGGACATCAACATAACTTTGAGAAAAACCTTTTGAGATGTGCATGGTCACCTGATGGAAATAAGGTACATTGCTTTTAATAAAAGGCTAACCATAACCATTGAATGTTGAAAAAATTAAATTTGTTGCCTTTCCACTCTCTGAACAACCAGATTATCAAAACCAGATTTAAACATAACCTCCTCCAAAAATATTTATGGATATTTTTAGATGAAAACTTTACATGAAAAATTGGGAAAGTGGAAAAAGGGGAAATTTGGTTAGTCTTTAGAGAGAGTTAATTATTAAATAATCACATACACCCACAACCTATAATAAGGTTTATGATAAAGATTCCTGATTATAAAAAGCATGCTATTCGAAAATATTAGTTCCTAATGGTATTCTTGGAGTTTCCAGCATTTTGGAGATTTGAATTTGTTATTCTTTTATATGAGTTTAGTTTTCTTCTTATGCTAGTTTAATGGACCTACTTTAAAGTGCACATTTAGGTACAATTTTTTGCAATAAAGTCTGAATCTTTAATGGTATCTGAACATATTTTGAGAGAATACTGGCTTAAATATACCCTCCTATCCAAACAATCTGTTAGAGACCATGTTGGTTGTTGAATTCGGCAAAGTCATTGGCTGAAAATGAGATTATCAGCATAGACAGGTCCTCTATTTCTCTAGTAACTGTAGCTATGACTAATAATAAATAATTTTTAGGTTAGTGCTGGATCAGCAGATCGGTTTGTGTATGTTTGGGACACGACGTCTCGTAGGATAATATACAAACTTCCCGGCCATAATGGCAGTGTCAATGCTGTAGCTTTTCATCCAAATGAACCCATTATTGCGTCAGTGGGTAGTGACAAACTAGTTTACATTGGAGAAATTGATTAATGTTCCTTTAGTGTGTATTTGTAATTAAAGATATGCGAAATACATTTTTTATTTATGGTGGTTCTTAGAAAATTATTAAAACACATTTTAGGAAACAACAAAATGTATTTCTTTACATATTTACATAAGAAAATGAATGTTATAAAAAATTATAGGTCTCTTAATTACTGGAAAATTAGGGAGCAGTGACCCATACAGATTTCAAAATAGGTGCTATAAATGCTTGCCATTAATCTACGACATATTACAAAATCACATTTTTTTCTAAAAGTCTTTATCAACCATTCTCTCTTAACATATGTTATGAAATAAATTACCTCTAATATTTTAAGATTTAGAGATAGTTATTTCGAATCTATAGCAACATTTTACAAAAAAAAAAGCATCATAAGTGCTAAAGGGTGAAACAAAACAATAAATTTATGTCCTAAAAATAACTTTTTTCCATTTTGGTAATCCAAAAATTGCAAATATTTTTTCAATTGACGAATAGTTAAAACAAAACATTTCCACTGGATGGACAACAAACGCTCTAGGCATCCAAATCATTAATGAAAAGCACTTCACGATTTTTCAACCCTGCCTGTTCAAGAGTTTCAACTCTTTCCCTCTGATGTTGGGGGCGACACTTGAGAACTCTTTTAGGAAAGTTTGTAGTAATTTCGAATGAATCTGGGGCGTTAGGATGGCAAAACACAAAATAGAACACATGCTGCAATAAAACTTTTAAATTAACGCGCAACTTTCCAAAATTCTTTTGAAATTTACCTCCAAGGAATGAGACTTGAGAAATCGTCTTTCGAGGCGACTGCCAGAAGGGAGCTTGAAGACAACATGCACAGCATTTGGATCAGATATATCTGGTTCAGAAGGGACCTTGGAAACAGAATTCAGTTTTTCTTGTTGCAAGGCCAAGCGGCGTTCCTCCTCTTCTCTTAGTTCCTAAATACATAGAAAATAGTATTGCCTTTCTTTTCAATGTTATCTCATGTCACCTGTTCATACTGCCTTTGCCGCTCCGCTTCAGCTCGTCTACTTTCCTCTTTTATTCTTTCTTTTTCCTGATCGGCCCTGAGACTTTCCATAAAAGCTTCGTCTTGATGTTGCCTCAGAGACCGGTTCAAACTAGTTTCAAAGCGCTCTGCTCTGGCCTGTACTAGATGTATTTCAAACTCATTAACAACGCTGCGCATTTGCTGCATTAAGTGGTTTGGATTCCAATAACCTTCAAGCCTTCCAGCTACAACCATCCTGAAACAATCAAACTTAGTTCAACAATAGTTCAACTTATGATACATACCTATTCTCTTTTAGAACTAAAATGGCAATTAATGGAAAATTGTTAGGCCTGATTGCGTTGAGAGTGCGTTTACCCTCACGCGATTTAATTGAACAACTCCAAAACAAAAAATTGGTATTTATGTATCTAACAACTTCAGGGTTCGCTAATGTTTCACGGCAGAATAAGTCAGCGTCATTTGAATCGTCATCATGTAAGTAAACTGCTAAGAAACGCAGTTCTCTTTTAGCATCATTGAGGACTTGCGAAAAGGTTCCCTGATAAAATACTGGATGATTACAACCATACTTTTCCTCATACAGCCTAATGAATTCCAAAACCTCTTGAAGAGGGTCAATCCGAGGCTGATACTCTATACCTAAAAGTAATAGTGAAAACTGAATCGAACTTAGGTCTATACAAAAATTAAATACCCAACATTCTTCTGGCAATTTGAATAAATGTCATAACCGTAGTATAACATAGGTTATACAAAAGACTTGCAAATATTTTGAAGTATTTTCTAATTCCTGATCCAGAGCCATCAGTGGGGGGAGAGAAATAAATAAGTTGCCCCAAATGTTCGCTAACCACTGCTGGTGGTCTGGACTCTGAAGCGTAAACAGAGGGTCTCCCTTCTCTAATATTTAATTGCTCTTGAACCGCAACTTCCAAGTTCCACTGATGCCTTTGTAACACGTCCCTACATATCGTCATGTCTTCTATTCCCGTGAGATCTTGAAATTGCAAAACTTTCTCCGTTTGTTCGCCTGTAAGACCCAGACCACCATTCTCCATAGAATAATCCATTGTGATTTGATACACTCAGAAAATGCACTTAAAAAATGTTTCAACTCAAGCGCGCACGATTCATTTGCAATTCTAACGAAACTTCGTTTTGAAGAACAAATAATTTATAAAATTTAAACGTCATAGGGTATTCCATATTCCAATTTTGACATAAGTATAATTGACGAATTTGGTCAGTTTATAAATTGCGAAATGAGGGATCATCTATTCAAGTCGGGTCATTGGGCTATTAAACTACGCTTAGAATGTTGGAATATATCTTGTAACGTTGCTTTAGCTCAAGCTCCTGAAAAAAAACTCACTGAATCGATTAAAATTCGGTTTTAATGAGTGCTTTCAATTTTTTTCACAGTACATCCTCAGTGGACGTGCCAATTACCAGTAGATGTCTGATATGTTCTTGAAAACAACAGATAGAAGTTGTTTTTTTAGTAAAATGTTCAAAAACCAGTAAAACTTTTTCCAATAGATGTTGGCAATGTGCAAATTTCTCCATTAGTCTTAAGTATATGTAAAAAATATAAATTTTGAAAATGTCAGAGTTCAGTATTGGTTATTTAACACTCCCTGGATCGTTACTTAAATTTTTAAAGAGGAAGAATAGTCCTAGCAACATTTAGCAACAAAGAAGATGAAGTCTGCGTACCTAGCCTATATATACATATACAAATATATGTTTTGGTAACTATATTTTTCAATGGTTCTGAAGAATGCGTTGCTCTTTAAAATGTTGCGAAAACAATAAGAGGAAAACCAAAAATTCGTCCGTGTTGTATTTTCATTTACCTGACGATCTATATTTTCAGAAGCTCTGGTTAAAAAAGTGTAGCAGAAAAGTTGTGTATAAACAGGAAAAATTTGTGCTATGTTCTTCTCATTTCAGTGAAGATGATTTTGACTTAGTCAATGGTATCATATTTACCTTTCTCTATATGAAAAATTATCATTGAAGTTTTAGGGACCCAAGTTTTAAAATTGGAGGCTGTGCCTTCAATAAACTTACCCGAAGACATTTATCAAAGGGAAAACAAAGGATTCCATGATTTTGATTTGTCAAATTTGCACATTCCAGAAACAGAATCTACTCCACACACATTTATTGAAGGCACTGAAGAAAGTGAAGTTGGTCTAGTACACAAGTACAGACTTTTATTGCTCGAGTATGAGCTCATGCTTGACAAAGTTAAAAACCAGGAGGCGACTTTAGAAGCTTTGAAAAATGAAAATTCCGCTCTGAATGCTCTATTAGCTTCTCAGAACAATGCCACCCAAACGGGTTAGATGCAAAAAAATAAGGCCAAACAAAAATAAAGATTCCTCATCTGAAGATGAAATTCCATTGAAAAAATTACAGGTAAATAGCAACAATACAAAAAGGAATTCCACTAATTTTTCTGGCATCCCAGAGCAAATATCAATTAAAAGGAAATTTGATAAGCTGCTGGACGAGTATGAAGCTTTAAAGAATGTGAGTTTATCTTTAGAGAAGCAAATTAAAGGACTTACATCTGTAAATGTTCACCTTAAAAGTAAGGTATTTAAGTGACCCCATGTTAAGTACTTAGTTGCATTTAGTGCAGTGAGTGTGTTACATATTTGTTATTAAATTTTGATTATCAATCACAAATTATATCTAATTATCTCAAATTTTACCCATAATTCTTACATGCAAAGAATTTTTAGTTTAATATGCAAAACATGCATATTAGATTCCACACTATCTCTACTGGTGACAATAAAAAGAAATGTTCATCAAAAAATGGCTCTTCATACATAGCATAAACTTACGTTATAATATTTACGTTAGGGTTACAGACCAGAGGTAAAAAGGAATAACCCATCAAAGATATTAAATAATTATTATTTTTGTTAAATTCTACACACCTTGATCTCAACAGTTCAGAGGTTCAAGGCATACTCATATCAAGTGTTGCTAATGACAATGTCGCGCTTTCATCCAATAAGATCTAGCAGCACCAAACAACATGGCGGTTGAGAGTTCGTCAATTTTGCAAGTTTCAGGTTAAATGTAACATTTTGGCGGCAGTATTTTCTCAAAATACCACTATATCTCGTTAAAAATCCGAAGAAAGACTAGTTAAATGTGTTGAAATCGCTGTTTAGATAAAAAATGGCCCAAAGTGCAGGTTAGCGCTTATTGCGATTGTTATGTGTTGCATTTTCCGTATTTATGCTTACGCAATATTCGGCGTCCAATTTAAGCAATCTAATTAAATTCATTTGAGGAAACTGTGCAGGCAGGTATTTAACTCTTTGTCTTATTAAGATTAGACGTGCTGGCATCGCACAGTTGGTACGTTTTCCAATGGTGGAATAGCAATTAATTTAAAAAATGTATAGCAAGAATTTAGAAAAAAAAAGAATATGAATTGGTTTTTTGAATATCGATTAATTTAATTTTAATATTCAACCAATCTTTGCAGCTTTTATATACTGTATTATAAAAATCTTTATATTTGGAATTAAAGACAGGGTGTTTCAAAAAACACGCGCCAACGCTCGGCTGGAGATTAGTTAAGACATTCATGGATATATAATCAAGAGAAATTGCAATTTCTTTTTTAACTTGTGTAACTTGAAATACTGAGATAATGTTCCCAGCCGACATCACCGAGATTCTTTACAAATTCACTACACAGAATAATATTTTTATGTATTCAAATGCATAGGTAAATTAAAAATTTAACTCAATATGTGTTAACAAAATGTTGTACTAGCAATTTGCAGCGAATAAACGCTTGCGTCAGTGTAGGGCATTTTTAATCTCAATTTCATCTGCGTCTTGTACTACGTTTGCTTTTTTTTTATGAGAAAAGTGACTTTGAAAATGAAAAGGTGTTTTTGAATTGCAAAACTGATAGCATAGCTATAACTGATAGCAATACAATACTATTAATTTGGCTGTTTGAATTCTGAAGTGTCATTTACTGTGTATCTAAACTAATAGAACACGTGCCTCATGGGTGTGTGTTTATTTTGTTCTTTAGTGTATTTGTTCTTGGTATTATCTATCGTAGATTTCGAACGTTAAAAGGCATCGGGTGTGGTTTAATTTAACTTGTTCTAATGTAGTTCTAAATATTATAATTTTTATTCTGTTTTAATAGAGAGCTAACTCAAAAACACTTCGCCGTTATCTCCATTCACACAGCAAACCCATACCGGCCTGCTAAGCTATGAAAGTAAGGCCTTAACAATAATAGTAGGTCTACTGATGCACCACGTCGGTTAAAGAGCTAAACCTAATTGGAGAGACAGAAAACACTTAATGCAGATACTTGCAACAAGACTATAGTCACAGTGCGTTTCCATCTGCTGAGAGTAACCAACCGAAATAACACACTTTAGGCTATTGGACATTCAACGAACCGTCCAATGTGGACAAATAGGCTGTCCAATGGATGCTCGGGATTCACATTTGCGGTAATTAAACACCCAGTATTGATTTCCCTTGGAACCCACATACATTTCTATTTAAATCCAAAAAGGTTCCGTCAAGAATTATTGTTTTAAGAAATAAGGTTTTGTGCCATACTAGTAATAACGCCACATTGAAAAATGTTTAACCATTTACCAGGCTTTACACCCCAAGGCAGACACCGATTGCCTGTATGTATGCAATATTGAAACAGCTTACCACCTGGAAATCTACAGCCTATCTAGTACATGATGGAAATTTCTGAAAAGGATGACCTAGTAAAAATGACACTCACATATGACCAAACAAAACCGAGCAAAGTTTCCTTACTGTAAGTGTTTTTGTTCGGGCTTAATGGCCGTCGTTGAGTGGAATTTCTTCCTGACGTTTCGCTAGCACGAGCGGCTAGCTTCTTCTGAGGTGCTTCCATCTCCGATGTTGACAGAACAAAATCAGCTAATAACGTTTCTGGATGTTCTAATAAAAAGATGCAATGGGAAACTAAGCCAAACAGTGTACCGCAAGCCGATTCACACAGACAGGTACCTACATGCTTTATCCAACCATCAGCCAAGCCAAAAAAGAGGAATCATTACAACCTTAACAGAACGTGCCCGGAGGATCTGTGATCCACAACACCTGGAAGCAGAACTAGAGCACCTCAAAAAAGCCTTCCAATCAAACGGATACAGGATATCTGATATTGATAAGGCTATGAGGCCCAGAACGGCCTCACGACAAGACCCGGGAGAACAACTAACGGTTGCGAGTGCTTATCTACCTTTTATTCCTCGAGTGACAGACAGGATCGGAAAAATATTGAAAAAGGATAATATTAACACAATATTTAAACCAACAAGGAAAATACAACAAACGCTAAGATCAGCCAAGGACAAGAGAGATTCGCTGTCAGCCGCCGGAGTCTACCGCATACCATGCACGTGTGGAAAACTGCACACTGGGACAAACCGACAAATCGGCAGTAGCGGAACACGCGCTCAGTGAAGGGGATCACAACATTCTTTTTGGGGAAGCCAGGCTTCTTGCGTCCACTTCGGGCTATCATGCCCGCCTCGTACGAGAAGCAACAGAAATCCATAAACATACAAATAATTTCATTAGAAAAGAAGAGCCACTGCAGCTCAAACAAATTTGGAACCCCATCTTAAGGAACACAAGGACAGCCTCGGTAGTCACAACTACTCATGCGTTAAAATGCCCCGCCCTCTCCCCTCCACGTCCCCCCAGACATAATACGACTTACGGCCGGGAGCGTGTCAGTCTGCATGCAACATCGGAGGTGGAAGCACCTCAGAAGAAGCTAGCGAAACGTCAGGAGGAAATTCCACTCAACGACGGTCATTAAGCCCGAACAAAAACACTTACAGTTCAAACGCTGGCCGCGAAAGCCTTAATCACTTTAAAGTTTCCTCACAACAGCAGAGGAGCAGTTGCCCGATCTTCCCTTCTGGATAAAACACTAACAAGATGAATAACTAAATCACCACGGACAGCTAGTCGGGAACATGAAAAACGTGCCGACCGACCATGTGGCATAGAATTGCTGGCTTAGACAGATGACAAGTGTAGACTGTGCAAGGAAAAAAGCGAGAGAGTGACCCATATAATTTCCGCCTGCAAAATCCTCGCTTTAAAAGAATACACTGACAGACACAATAAAGTTTGCTCACTAATACAATTCGAACTATGTAAATATTATCAGTGCCAACTTAAGGCGGAGCGGTGGTATCAGCATGAGGCGGAAAAGGCACAGGACGGCTAACCGCCCGGACATTAGAGAAGAAAGAAACACTTACCTCATTGATGTATTCGTGGCGATGTTCAAGCGCAATAAGATCTTTTAAGAATATATGATATATGGCTGGAAATGTTAAGTTGTGAATCAGAAACTAAGCCTATACTTTTAGTGGTTTCAACAACTTGGAGCAAAATGTTATTAATTCTTATTGAAAAATATTTTGATATTTCATTACGCTACTTTTTTTTCCGAAATAAATGACGACAAATTTTATGGGATTAAGTTTTAGCGTATGAAAGATTAGCAAGCGCATTCAAATCTAATTTTGTGGTATTTATTGTTATCTTATAGTCAGAGGGCAAAAGCGAGTATCATCTGCTGACAAAATTAAAGACGAGCAGATTGTTCGAAAGATTACTACCCACATTAACTTGCTGGGTCCTGTTACTGAAAATTAATCTAAGCTTTTAATAAATCGACTAATACCAGTTATTTAATTATATCGAGTTCGGAAACTAGATTATTTTCGATTAATAGAAAAAATTGATTAATGTACCCACAAATTTGAGAGTCTAGTGTTATCTCAAGATTTTGTGATATGGTCTAGGAAGGGGTATACCTAACAATATCCTGCTTCCCGAATGCAGGAAAAGAGTGATTTTTCAGACACCTATTATTATTTATTATTATTATTAAAGTTCAATCATTGTAATATTTAGACCGTCTAAACCAGACGCTTTACTTTTTCTATAATTTGACGCACTTCATAATCTTCCACCACAGTAAATTTTAGCAAATAATTGATATCACTTTTTCTGTTATTTGAATAGAAATGTTAAAGTTCTGCTTTCAAAGGAAAGTTCGACATAGTTTGGATCACGAATTTATCAGCATCTCTAAACAGCTCAGGAATTCATTTTAGATGGAGTTAGTTTATTAAATACCTGCCACTTTTTTTGTAGTGTGTTTGAACTTATACTTATAGCATGCTTTCCGTTCCATTCTAATGGAGGACATTGTTAATTTCCGTAGCAATTTAGAGGTTACACCAAGCAGCCTTATCGGAGCTGTGGGGTCTAGTCAGAGACGAACACAGATAATGCTCTATAACCATGGAGGTGTTCACATATAAGGGGTTGCAGCGACAGACAGCAGAAATGGGGTCACTTTTTCAAACAGTTTAACATAAACTCGTTAAATAAGGGTGCTGAATTTGATTGACAGACAGCAGAAATGGGGTCACTTTTTCAAACAGTTTAACATAAACTCGTTAAATAAGGGTGCTGAATTTGATTGGGGACCCTTGGCGCGTACAAAATTGGGTACTTTAGACTGAGGAGTTTAAATCAAGATATTTTATACTCTTTGCAATCTAGTAAGTAATTAAAAAAAGCTTCGCAAACAGACGAACAAACTTCAATTCGTCGATTGTCAATCACAATGCCCTGACATTCAACCGCAAAATAGCGTAACAGTGCTTTAATTATAATTAGTCGGAATCAGAGGTACGGTTTCTCAAATTATATTCGCATTAGTATCCTCTAATGGCCGTTTTTTGCTGGTCGTAAAAAAAAAATCAATTTGCAACAATATGAACCCAGAATTCTCGTTTTACCGGCAAACACTTAGTCATATGTTGTCCAGCGTAAAAATTTTCGCAATCATTTATAAATTATTCCGGCGATACTAATTGATTGACGTCCACAACAATTTAGTCCAGTCGACAGTGCTTTCAAAAGAATTGTTTTCGTTATTCGACATTAACGCCTAAATGAAAATAAACTTTCTTTTATAGGCTATTTCAGAAAAGTGTCGAGAAAAAAAATTAGGAATTTTGTCCAGTTTGATCCGATTTTCCGATGCTAATAAATAGACTCTGTTATTATTTTTGATGACTTCTCATTTCACCTGATATATTGCCCGTCATTATTTTGTTATGACGCAATAAAAGGAAGTTAATGACACTTTAAAGTATTTTCAATATACTTACATTATGGAAGTGTTCACAGTACAAGAAAAGTCCAGGCAGACCAGTAAAAATGTTGTGAAACACTAATTTTAGGAAAAACTAGGTAAGATGCAGATTCCAAATAAAATACCTTCATCTACTGTTTGATCATGCCATTCAGGAAGTGACACCAGAACACTGGCGAAAAGCAGTGCAGCATATCATTAGAAGAGAAGAGAAGACCATGTGGGATCTTGAACTTCAAGAGGAGATCACGATTCCTCAGATAACAAAGAATACTATGTACGTAATGCCTATTTTTTATTATTTTTCTTCTTTCTCTACTATTGACTAGGTAAGTTGTCCTGTTGGTTTAGCGTCTCGCTCGTCAGTTGACAACGAGAACCATCTGCCCATCTTTTTGGTGGTCGTTCCTGTGATCTTGTTTTTCTGGGTCTCTCATTCTTACATATACTTCGCTAACCTGAAGTTATCCATAGGTTCTAGGTGTTGATTCCACTTTCTTCATAATTCTTTGTCCCATTTATGATATATTGGATGTTACGTCTCTCTTTCTTATGCTTTTGTTAGTCTGTCTCTCAGCATAATTGCCAAT